GTTCTGGAACTCTGGTCGCCAAACCGTGTATTGACGAAAATTGCACCCTCCCGGGCAATACCCATAAGAATTTTTTTTTCGCAGAAATCTTTTCGGGAGTATTCTCATCTACTCTCTAAAGTTTCATGGCACTCGGATGAACGGTGTCGAACCGCATCCAAGTTTTATTTTTGTTTCATATACGCACCCTCCCGGGCGCTGCCCTCGAGAAATTTAAAAAACATTTTTTTTGCAGAAACCTCAAAGAAATGCGTGGGTCTCTTCCTAAATATTAGTAAAGGTATCCAATAGATCACGGGTTCCCAACCTGGGGGTCGCGACCCCCAAGGGGTCGTGAATGTCTTTCTGGGGGGTCGCCAACTGGTATACTAAACCTTAGTAATTTGAAACAAAACATAATATTTAGAAGAATTTTTGAAATTCGGCTTCATTAACATCACTGGAAATGTAATAGAGAAGAAACAAAGCGCACTGTACAAAGTTTTTCTCAGTCACGAATCTATGAAATCTTCAAAACTAAAACGTCATTCGGAACACACCAAAAAATATATGGAGTTCTTTCGTCGGTAAGAAGCTAGTTGCAAACGCCAGAGACTTGATCGAACAAGAAGTTTTCACCAGAATTAGTGCAAGCATCAAATGAAGTCGCGATAGAAAATGCCAAGCGAAAAAAAAAAACAATAGGAGAAAATCTCATCAAACGCTTCATGTACGTAAATGTTAAATAACACATTTTTATCGAAATTAAGCTTTCACCATTGTTTGCTATTCAAGTTAATAAATCAACAGACGTGAGTTCGTGTTCGCAGTTGCTGGTCTGTGTCTATATTCATGCGGATGATAGCAAAGAAGAGTTGCTCTTTTATGAAGATAGCATGGAGAAAATAAATACCTTTTTTGAAACTGGATGATTAAAATGGGTTAGAACGGCTGTGGGGGTTTGTACGGATTGCGCGCCATCTATGTTTAGCTCAAAATCGGGCTTTCAGAAAACAGAAAAGATTTAGCTCCCTAACCACTGCCCTAACCAATCGACATCAAGAGTCCATTGCTAGCATAAGTCGTAAATTATATAAAATCTGGAGCCTTCAAAGAACTGAGCAAAAACATTAATATAGATCACGAGGTTCTTCTCTTCTACACTACAACGCTGGCTGTCAAACGAAATGTTGTAAATTGTGTTTTTGAATTGAAATCTGAAATCAAATTGTTCTTGGAAGTGCAAAGGAAACAAGACTTTTTGATATTCTTAAAACGACATAGATTGGTTGGAGAGAGTATCATACCTAGCAGATGTGTTCGAACATCAAGATAAGCTTAACCTGAAGCTTCAGGGAAAATGAACGAATATTATAACTTTCCATGATAATCTCGGGGCATTTTCATCTAAACTGCAAAAATCGGTAAAGAAAATAAATCTTGGAAATATTGTAAATTTTAGAAACTCTGCGGTGTGGTAGATGAATCTGATTGTGAGATAATTACAATTTTGAAAAAAGCGATTTCTGGGCATCTTGAATCTCTTGAAAACGAACTGCATCGCTATTTCTCTGAGCTGAAAAAGAAGAAGAATCTGCATTTATGCATTACCCATTCTCTTCTTCCCTTGATGTTGCCAGCATTCCCGATGAATCACAAGATGAATTCTTTGATTAGCAGAATGATTCCGAGTAAGATGAAAAACTGCAGACACAATTTTGGTGTAGTATTCTCCATTCATACCCAAACGTAAAATTGATTGACTTTTCGATAATATATTTTCAACACTATTCTTCGATTAAAAACAAAATTAAGATAATTATAATGACATAGGTTGGCGTTAACAAAAATTTTTTTTAATTAAAAAGTTAACCACGAAGGTTTAGTGAATAGTATGCAATTTTACTCATGCTATTAAAACAGTTATCAAGAGTAGTTCATATTGAAAGTGTACTAGAAAATCTTATTTTAATGCTTATTAATTTCCATACTAATTTCGGCTTTTTAATTCTATGGGGGTCGCGGGTCACTTACTTTTTATAAAAGGGGGTCGCCACTCGAAAAATGTTGGGAACCACTGCAATAGATACTAAAGTGACCCACGCTTTTCTTTATAATTTTTACTTTCTCGTATATACGAAGTAAAGAGAAAGTCTTGTAATCGTAAAAAAAAAAACACGAGATATTTGCAAATCTCGACGTTTTACACCTCACTGATACGGAAAAACATAATTTTGCAATCTTGTCCGTATGTCTGTGTGTGTATGTGTGTGTGTGTGTGTGTGTGTGTGTGTGTGTGTGTGTGTGTAAACACGATAACTTGAGTACCGTTACAACTAGGTTGATGAAATTTCATATATAAGTATTTTATCAAAATCGTAGATCCGTATCAACTTTTGAGCGATTTCCGATAACTGGAAGTGGTACTTTTTCTACATTGAATTTTTTAAAAGCCTGTAACTTGAGAACTATTTCAGATAGATAAATGAAATTTCACACGTAAGTAAAAGATCAAGATCTACTTCTCTACTTTCTTTCAAATTTTGAGTGATTTCCGTTGAACGGAAGTAGTAATTTATGCTATTTCCAAATTCTCAAAAAACTAATGTAAATTTATAAAGTACTAATAATATTGCGCACTATTATGCACATTTTATTTGGCGTTCACTTGGTGTGCAATTCTTTTTTCTACGAGATTTTATTCTATTTTAAAAACTTTAAGAATTTAAAATGGATTAAAAATCATGTCTATAGCCCAAGTTCCCATCCCCTGTTGTTGTTTTATAAAAGAACGAGCCGACCCGCTGCGTATCATACGCCGCTATTTAGTTGTTTTTTTTCTACTTTTCAGTAATTTATAATTTGTGAATTCGACAGTACCAATGCTGCCATTGAAAATATTTGCTTAAAAACACTAACCCCCCCCCCCCCCCACACACACACACGTGAAAGCAGCCTCCTATTAGTTACCTCCTCTAAGTTTAAAATCGTTTCAAACTCAATTATCTGCTCCTAATAGCCGTCACCAAACCCGTCTCTATGATTGTAAAATGTAAACAGAGTGAACACCGCTCACCAGATCATGTGGGGGTGGTAGTGATAGCGATAGAGAGGAAGAGAGGGGACTGCAAAGGCGCGCTTGCAGCTTGTTTTCTAACTGATCCCAGAAGAGAATTATATATATACGAGCCGGCCCGCGGCATAACATACGCCGCTATTTAGTTGTTTCTAATTTTCAATAATTCATAATTTGTGAATTCGACAGTACCAACGCTGACACTGAAAATATTTCTTTAAAACACTATAAGTAGCTCGTTAAGGACCATAACCCCCCCCCCTTCCTTCCCCCCCTCCCCCCCCCCCCCCTACGTTTAAAATCGTTGGCTCTGCTTGTAAACATTTAGAGTGAACACAGCTCACTAAAACCATGTAGGGGTGGGGAGGTAGGGAGAGCGTTTGCAGCTTGTTTTCTAACGGCTCGAAGAGGAGAATTATATATATAGATAGATATTCGAGAAAGTTTAGGGGAGATCACTCACGGTTTATTTTTACAATTCGTTCTAAATGAATTATGTGCACATGCAATTGTTTTAAAACCCGATCAGTAGATTGCGATATGTAAAAGACAATTCGTCCGTGGTTGTTTGACAGGTGAAAAACCAATCCGCCGTGAATAAAATAGTTCACCGTCGTCGGATAGCTGACATACCAATCGCATTTATTTAATCGTGTTATCTACCCTTTTCTTATTGAAATTAGAAGTATTTTAATTGTCTTTTAATGACAAATCTCAACTCTAATTAGATTTTTTTTTAAATGATTTTTTTTCCCTCGAATCTGAAATTGACGGATCTGTAAAATTTGAAGTTAGAAGTAGGTCATAATTGAGTTGCAAGATTTTACACAAATCCACAAACAAATTTATTTATAGACTATGTAAACAATAATAAAAAGTATAGAAAATACTACGACATGATTCACCCATCTTAGTGTGTCAAATAAAAGCTTTTAAAACATTTTTTCCAAGTATTTTCCCATCTAACTTTATTCAACCACAATGAATGAACAAAAGGAAAAATCAACATACATTAGCATTGTGCTGTGGTCCCACTTTAAAACTAACATCTGTGGTGATCCCATTGTAAAAACTAATATTTATTGTGGTCTCATTGTAAAAACTTATTTTTATTGTGGTACCACTGTAAAAACTAACGTTTATTGTGGTCCAACTACAAAAATTAATATTTCTGGTGGTCCCATTGTAAAAACTAACATCTTCTGTGGTCCAACTCTAAAAGCTAACATCTATTGTGTGTCACACTGTAAAAACTAACTTTTGGTCCCAACCAACCGTGTCATCTAAATTTGTCATAGTCCCACTTCAACACAAACTTCCACTCTGGTCACACTTCAACACAAACTTCCACTCTGGTCTCACTTTCAAACAAACTTCCACTCTGGTCTCACTTTTAAACAAACTTCCACTCTGGTCACACTTTCAAACAAACTTCCACTCTGGTCACACTTTCAAACAAACTTCCACTCTAGTCTCACTTCTAAACAAACTTCCAATCTAGTCTCACTTTTAAACACATTTCCACTCTGGTCTCACTTTTAAACATACTTTTCTTGTGGTCTCACTTTTAAACAATCTTCCACTCTGGTCTCACTTTCAAAAAAACTTCCACTCTGGTCTCACTTTCAAACAAACTTCCACTCTGGTCTCACTTTCAAACAAACTTCCACTCTGGTCTCACTTTTAAACAAACTTCCACTATGGTCTCACTTTCAAACAAATTTCCACTCTGGTCTCACTAGCAAAAAAAACTCCCACTGTGTTTGCTACTTTAAACCAATTTTTGTGTGGTCCATTTTTTAAAAAAACGAGTGCTGTGGACCCAACTTAAACAAAATTCTGGTCTGGTTCCCACTGTAGAAATAAACTTCCTTTGTGGCCCCACTTTAAATCAGACTTTTGTTGTCTCCTTACTTTATAAACTAACTCTCCATTGATCCCCCTTTTAAAACAACCGTCTACTGAAGGGAAACAACTCAATAAACTTGACCCTAAAGTTGGTGCTCATGGTAAGGAACACGAACAGGTTGGAGGTGTGGTTGACAAAATCCAGAACCAAAATACCGCTGAAAGTCAGATTGAACACGTTGTTAAGTCGTTTCCCGAAATAAAACTCCGGAAGTGAGAACTGCACGACGTAGAAGAGAATTCTGGGAAAAAGATTTCCTATGAACAATCCCAGAATCACCAAGAGCATCTTTACGACTTGTTTTTCTTTTGTGCTTAGTCCGGACGTGGAGATTTTAGTGTGCTTGGCTTTCCTGATCAAACTCGACGACGTTCGCAGGAAGTACATCGTTATCCCCGAGGAGAAGATGAGCACGAAAAACGGTAAAAAGGTGAGCAGGATTCGCAAGATTTTGACACCGTCGGAGAATTGCGTCTCGAACTGGTGGTAGAAGTTGGTGAACTTGAGGGAGGCGATGGTGGCGTTGTACTGCGGGCTGTAGATGAAGACGATGTCCGTGGCGAAGAACACCACCAAGTTCAACCCCACAACCACCAGCGTGCTCAGCGACACCATCAGCAGCGAGAACCTCGGCGTGAAAATAGACTTGACCGTGAACGGCATGCTGACGCATAGACACCTCTCAACAGACACGTAGGAGGCGAGGACGTACGAAACGTAGCCCGCAAACGAGACGATGTTTATGAAATACATCTGCGATATCGTTCGCCAAGTTATTCCCGCAGCTGGAGAAACCCACCCCAACGGGATGTTGATTGTGTAAGCAAAATAGCAGGCACATTTTATCATGTCCCAAGTTGCGATTGCGGTTAGAGAAATGTTCACCTCGTCTTTGAAACCTTGACGAAAGAATACTAAAAGATTTATAAAATTGGTGACAGTCCCTAAAAAAGCAAGTAGATTTAGAATGCCGAAGTCCACGATAGCTCCGTAGAAATAGACAATTTCCGCGCTAGCGTCTGCCATCGTTCAGCTCTAAAAATTATTTGACATAAATTTCCAGTAAGTTGTCTCAACATTTTTTTTCCCAGGTAAAAAAAAAATCAAAATGTGTCGTCATATCGAAAACCATGCCATTATTTTTTTCATTCAATTTTTAAAAATAGTTATTTAAAGTTTAACCCCTCCCACGCGGCTTTAGATGTCAAAGAGTTAATGCGCAAGCCTAGCAATTATCAGGTTTAGATGAAGGTGTTGCCAACACAATAATTTGACAAGGCTGTCATTTTGTTTTCGCTTTTCAAAGTGTTGACTCGTGGTATAGAGAGAGGAGATACTAGAAAACAACGTGTCATTATGTGGTAAACTATAGGGCGATGTGCCAATTTGTGTCTGTTCTATTTTCTTCTCGGCGATTAGATGAACCGTTGAACGGTAAATCCGAAAACGGTTGGTATAGATAAGAAAACATTTAAAAGAAACTATGTGATTTAAGATCGAAAACGTAATTATATGTTTTTTTTTAAATTTTCGCGAAATTCAACACGTCAGGTGTTATTTAACTTTCTGTGATGTGCAACTATAATTTAATTTTCTTTTCTAGTTGTGTGGTTAAAAAATATGATTATACGATACAGGAATTCTTACGATGTAAGATGTTATTAAGGAGTAGCGGGCCTTATTTTGCGCTAGCGATGTTCTCTAAGCTAAAACCGTGGGACTTTTTGTTTTGCTTGCTTACGCGATGCCGATGTTTATCAAGTCTAGTATATTTGACATACATTATAAAATGTTATTTTATTTACAACATTTTCGCGATTAATTTTATTAAATCAAACAACAGATCGTGCTGTGCGATACTTTCTCATAAGCTACGGATTAAACATACTGTACGGCGTTTGCGGCAGTCTCCGTAATGATTTTTTGAGGTTAATCCATACTTTCGAAGATACATAATAACATTTTTCTCAACGCCCAGTTGCTCTGTCATTATTTTTGTCCCAGATATTCAAGACCGTTCTAGAATATTCCAGAATATTTGTTTCCAATGTTCCAATATACAACACGATTGAGAGAGAGTGTATGTGTGTGTGCGTGCGTGCGTGCGTGAGTGCGTGCGTTTGTGCGAGCGTGCGTGTGTGTGTGTGTATGTGTGTGTGTAGGGAGGAGGGGGTCGATTCGTGATCATGAGGCTGAAGTATCTTAAAATCTCTAATATAGGTAAGAAAAATATTTTTCTAACAAATGTATTTGAAAAGTAAACAACTATTTTTGCCTATACGAATAGACCTACGAGGACTGTTACTTCATTTTCCATTAAGAAGAAAAAACTGCAATGAAAATGTATTACATTTCTAAGCGATAGAATGTTGATTTGTAAACTCTAAAGGTCTAGCGATAGAATGCTGGTTTGTAAACTCTAAAGGGGTCATCCATAAATGACGTCACGCTTTTTTGACGATTTTTACCTCCCCCCCCTCCCCTCCGTCACACGTCGTCACAAAAAGCCAGACCCCCCCCCCCCTAAAATGACGTCACACCTCAGCCTATAACCCGCCTCAAAATTGCAGTTGAATTTTTTTTTTAAAACATCGATATTTTTCTAAAATCTAGTCTGAATTCTGCCAACATGGAGTATTTTAATAAATTCCTATTACAATTTATTAAAACAGTTTTCAAAAACGCGAAATAACGTCTAAAATTCGTTTTTTAACATTGCTTTTTTATAATGCAAAAGTGTGACGTCGCACCATCTGAACCCCCCCCCCCCCCTTACCCCTCATCACACACCGTCACAAAATTACGGACGCCCCCCTTCCCCCTACGAGTGTGACGTCATTTATGGACGACCATCAAAGGTATGAATTTCGTACAAGGCTGGAAAGTCTTTTCTGACGAACGCGATGTGCTGGGTTAGAATAAAAAACAAAACAAGATGGCAACCAAAAGACCACATTGCTGTCAACCGAAGTGCAAGAAATTGTTTTTTTTTTTACCATCATGTAGCAGGTAATATTTTTTTTAATGTGGACGTAACATATTAACTAGTTAAACTAAAAATACTACGGATAAAGCGTAGATCTAACCATTCCTAGTAACTTGCTGATGAGAATGATTGAAACAAAGTCAATGAGAAACTTGTTGTTGTATCCATATTTCGTTTCACGAGTAATGATTTAGCGTCAGAGGCGTAGCGAGGGGGGGGGGCGGGGGGTGCGGACCACACCGGGTGACACCACTTAGGGGGGTGACACCAAGGCAAAAAAATAGTAAAATATATAGAGAAAAATTTGAGGGGGTGCAAATCGAAAGTTTGAGGGGGGGGGGGGGTGCAAATCGAAAATTGAAAGTTTGTCCCCGGGAAGAGTCGCTACGCCCCTGGGAGGGGGGTTACACCATTAAGTGCCGCACCGGGTGACACCCGACCTCACTACGCCACTGTTTAGCGTTATAAAAAGAAGGATGTGTACGTCCAACTAGGAGAAATGAGAGAAACGACTATAAGTCCCCACTATGAGAAATGGAAATGATGATTATAGATTCAAGTAGACCTATTTGCTTTGTAACAAAAATTGGTCCTCCCTAACGTCAATTTAAAAATAAAATTCAAACCAATACATGCATTGTTTTAGTTTAATATCTATTTTACTTTCTCAGATATTCAACTTTGCATGACGAGGTAGGTTAATAAACCGGGAGTGATCTCCCCTAAACTTTCTCGAATATTCTTATATAAAATAACAGGGGATGGAAACTCGGGCTATAGACATGATTTTTACAAGCTTTTATTTAACTCACTTCCTCTGTCGTAAGTCGTCAGTCGACAGTCTGTCGTCAGTCTAGATAGAAACGTGGGAGTGAAAATTCGGACAGTTATACTTGACCGATACGATTCACACTTGGCACGTGGGTCAAGACATGAAGACAATGCAATCTGAAACTAAATTTGACTTAATTGGATGCCTAATTGATTTTTTATGAATTAATTAAAATTTGGACCGAATTAGTAGGCATGTCTAGCCAACCACACCACACGCGTCATCAATAGCTGCGCCATCACGACCACGTAATGGCTGCGTTCAAAAACCATTGCGCGCCTACTGAACGTGATATTCAGTAGGCGTGCAATGGTTTTTAGTCATGTAACTCTATTGTAGATAAAACATGTAAAGTACTGAAAAAAAAATTCATAAAAAACGTTTTAATAACAAGCTTTTATGTAATGATGCACTAAAAAGTAGAAAATAAATTATAGACTACTATTTAAATAACTATAAAGAAAAGCGTGGGTGTCTTCCTTAACATTAGTAAAGGTATCCAATTGATACTAAAGTGACCCACGCTTTTCTTTATAGTTATTTAAATAGTAGTCTATAATTTATTTTCTACTTTTTAGTGCATCATTACATAAAAGCTTGTTATTAAAACGTTTTTTATGAATTTTTTTTAATCCATTTTAAATACTTAAAGTTTTAAAAATAGAATAAAATCTCGTAGACAAATTAATTGCACACCAAGTGAACGCAAATAAAAAAAGCGCATAATAGTGCGCAATATTATTAGTACTTTTAAAATTTACATTAGTTTTTTGAGAAATCGGAAGTAGCGTAAATTACTACTTCCAGTCAACGGAAATTACTCAAAATTTAACAGAAGGTAGAGAATTAGATCTTTTACTTACATGTGAAATTTCATTTATCTATCTGAAATAGTACTCAAGTTATAGGCTTTTAAAAAATTCAAAGTAGGAAAAGTACCACTTCCGGTTATCGGAAATCGCTCAAAAGTTGATACGGATCTACGATTTTGATAAAATACTTATATATGAAATTTCATCAACCTAGCTGTAACGGTACTCAAGTTATCGTGTTTACACACGGACAGACACACACACGGACAGACACACACACACACAGACATACGGACAAGATTGCAAAATTATGTTTTTCCGTATCAGTGAGGTGTAAAACGTCGAGATTTGTAAAAATCTCGATTTTTTTTTTGCACGATTACAATAATTTCTCTATACTACGTATATACGAGAAAGTAAAAATGTTGCGAGAAATGACTCACACTTTAGTTTCTAGCGGATGTAACAGCTTAAACTGAAATACGTCGGTGATTCAACGACTTCACTCCACAAAGAATTAATATCACGTTGACTATTATTGGCTTACTCATAATATGAGTATATATAATATTATATATTATATAATTTATAGTTTTAAAAAAAAAGCATCAACCTAAAAAAGCGACGAGAGAATCAAATAAATTAGCGGTGTTTAGACTAAGTTTTTTTTTGTTCTTTACTGTGTTTGTGTGTGTGTGTGTTGTCATTTTTACTTCCTAAATGTATTTTATTATAAAACTAAACTGTAACGCAAAAGTTCTATAGTTTAGTGTCAAAATAGCATTATTATATACATGTAGGTGAAACTAACGATACATATCGGTTTTCAATTTATTTAAATTTTGGAAACGGAAAAAAACCTCTTTAGACACTACAATGGAGTTTATGCAGGCTGCAACAAACTTTGTCTTTATCGGTAAGATTTTGAAAAGAAAACATTTATTGCTTATAGTGGTTAACTTAATTTCCATGACTGTTTATGATGTCCGTAGGAAGTCCATGAGTCCACCCAGCAGAGATAGGTACCTAACTCACATTAGGGAAAAGTAAAGGCGGCTGGACATAGTGATGACCACACTATTCCTTAATATGCCTAAGTCGTTGAAAAATAAAAACTCTACTGCCACATGTGTCTTGGGCACAAATAGTAAAAAGATTTATTATATATATATATATATATATATATATATATATATATATATATATATATATATATATATATATATATATATATATATATTTCAGCTATCACAGTGGGAAGTGTTCTAAAATTACACCCATATAACCAGATTGACAGTATGACACACTGTGAAGAAGGTTTAATCGTGGGCAAAGATTTCGCCATTTTCAAAGCCGAGGTTGATTTAGGTAATTCATCTCAGGTTGCTGGTAAAACAGTCAAGGTCGAGGCTACCATTGATGGAGGATCAACGTTTCAACATGTAAGGGGAGGGGGATAATATATTTTATTGCACTCTGTGCGTTTATGTGTTGTTTTTTTTGGTTATTTTGCATGCAATAGTAGGATCATGTTTAAACAATAAAACGTATCAAAGTAATTTTGACTGTCATTACACTATAGTAGTAAAATACATGAGAAAATTCACAAATTATATATATATATATATATATATATATATATATATATACATATATATACATATATATACATATATATACATATATATACATACATATATATATATATATATATATATATATATATATATATATATATATATATATATATATATGTGTGTGTGTGTGTGTGTGTTTACAAAAGATTAAAATACTCATTTACAAACTACACAAATTACATTGCCACGACTTTAAGAAAATTGTACCATGAAAAAAATAATTGGGATTAATTAATCAAAATGTTAAAAATTGTAAACAGCTTTGCCTCGTCAACCTAGAAGAGAGATGCTCTATGTATGCCAAAGGTCACTGTTTCTGCCAGAGGGAGGAGGAGAGTAAGGTCTACCACATCATCATCAACATCTCCGCCACACACAGGTACAGCAACTCGCTGATCCGCGGCCATCTGAAGCATGCGCAAGGATCTGGCTATGATGTAAACACAGTTCGGAGATTCCCAAGGATGTACAGTAAGTCCATGGGAACAAGCAGTATACAATGTGAATGTGATAAAAATACTTTGTATTGCTGTTTATTACAAGTTTTTTTCGCTAATATTCGAGGGGGGGGGGGGGGAAGGTTACATGGGCTAAATTCTAGAGAGCTGCCAAAAACAGAATGTGGTGGAAATGTGTATTTGCATAGCTTTTGCTCCTCTAGGGCTTCGAAGAATGAAATATAGTAAGTCAAGTCCCGTCAGTGGCGTCGCTAGGTCGGGTGTCACCCGGTGCGGCACCTTATGGTGTCATCCAACCCCCCCCCCCCCTTTTTAATGATATCATAGTTGTGTGTACGCATATTTGTCAGCCCTGATAAAATCAGGTCCACAATAGGACTTGTAAGTTCTCGTACTCTCTCACGTTAATGCAAGTCAGGTTAGTTTTCGAACTAAATCAATTGTTGTGAACGGGATTCCCATTGATAACAAAAAACATGGTGGCTATTTGTTATTAGGCCTTGCTTCAAGATTTAAAACTCATCAAAAGTTCCGAAAATGCAACATTTTAAAAAACTTTCAACGCTGTTTTTTTTTTTCATATGACTGGGAACAAATAGATGTGCATGCATGTCTGAATATGAACATTTTGTGGCGGTAAGTATATGGATTTATTAATAGCTTCTTGTTCAAATTTGTTCACAGATATTACAAACGTAACATTCCTTGTGAACAGAACTCACTTGCTAGGGGAGACAACTCTAATTTATGACAACAACATCAGGTTTTGCTGTCCAGACTCTCCGCGTCCTTGTACGGCAATACTTGTTTCTGGCCAGCAAACAATTTCCTCCAATGAAGGATGCGTCAGCGCCGACGTCAGTTCTCTCAATGTCCTTGAAAACGTTTCATTCATTTACGACTTTTGCAAAGGCGAAAAAGTTAGGAAAATAATTACTGTCAGAAAACAACAAACAGGTTTGATATATTTATTTTTCATTGCCTTTTAACTTTTTTTAAGCAATGTTTATTCTCAAAATTTGTTTTTGTATATTTTATTTTATTTATTTAAATAAAATATTTTATTTAAAAACGTCGTAAGTCGAATGTGCATGGGCACAAAAGCGACTCTGTGAATCTTTAGGTAAAATATTAGCTAATATGATTGACAAACCGCGTGAAAAAATATAAGTATGTACAATTCTGTTTTTAATTTAAAATATAGAATCTTTATAATTCTTTGGTAGTTGTACGAAAATAAAATGTGTAGTTTGAGCATGCGTCATGTGTGGTGTTTCGTTCGGGCTGATGTATGTGTCATAAGTTGTTCTACGCCTCAAAATCTGGCAGGTTACGGCTTGCAAACCTTGCAGGCAAGTCGGCAACGTTCCTTCATGTAGCCAGGGTTGGACACACACTGGTTCCTGTTGGCCCACTCCTGGCAACTTGGGTTCTCGTCCTTGCACTCTCTCTCCTCGCTCTCCTCTGGCATGTCACCCAGACAGAGACCGTTCTCTTCGGTCTGACCTTTTCTGCAGGGAGACTTGCAGGACTTCTGGTAAGGTCTTTGCCTGTTCCAGTTGCCCTTGGGGGTGTAGAAGCAGACCAACCACCAGGCGTTTGGGTAGGCGTTTGTCAGGTAGGGACATCTGGTTGACCAGCAGCCGACCTTCTGGGTCTTGTCCCACACAATCTGCAAATATCAAGTGGCATTTGTTATGTTAGAATGTCATTTTCCTTTAAGGGATTCGAGTCTTATGTTACCTGTGTTATTTATGTAAAAAAAAAGTTTCAATTAAAAGACACATACTTATCAAGAAAAAAAAAAGCATAAAACAACATAAGGATCTTGTAGAACGATGTGCATATCAGAACGCAGATTTGGACAATCATATTTAAATTGTATCCTAAATTATTTTTTCTAAAAATTTAGAACCTTCGTACTTAATTGATTAGCAAATCTGGATAGTATTCAGGTGTTCATAATCGACTACCTATATACATCTACACTATTGGACAAACAAACGAAAAATAACAAATAAATAACACTCTCCAAGCTGACCAACCCCTAATACACACTGACGAATTAACGTTTTAGACCGAAAAATCTGCAAATCCCATTAATCCTACATACCAAACTTTAAGACGTCTTGATAAACTCTAAACAAGTATTGACCAACCGTACAGACCACGCCGATCCACACCTTGACTAACCATAGACATACATTGACCCAGCACAGCAACACATTAAGCAATTCCTAGCACTAGCAGCCTCGTCCAGTATTTGACCAGCCCCTCCCCTCCCCACCTTGACCAACCCCACCCTTATCAGCCCTCTCAACCTTGACCAGCCCCTCCCCACTTTGAACAGCCCCTCTTTACCTTGACCAACCCCTCCCCACCTTTTCCAACCCCACCCTTGTCAGCCCTCTCAACCTTGACCAGCCCCTCCCCACTTTGAACAGCCCCTCCTTACCTTGACCATCCCCTCCCCACCTTGACCAACCCCACCCTTATCAGCCATCTCAACCTTGACCAGCCCCTCCCCACTTTGAACAGCCCCTCCTTACCTTGACCAACCCCTCCCAACCTTTTCCAACCCCATCCTTATCAGCCCTCTCAACCTTGACCAGCCCCTCCCCACTTTGAACAGCCCCTCCTTACCTTGACCAACCCCTCCCCACCTTTTCCAACCCCACCCTTATCAGCCCTCTCAACCTTGACCAGCGCCTCCCCACTTTGAACAGCCCCTCCTTACCTTGACCAACTCCTCCCCACCTTGACCCTCCCCTTCCTACCTGTGTGTAATGACAGGACATAAAACACGAGTCCTGGCCGTAACTGTACATATTCTTCTCGTCGAACCACCCTTTGAACCCGTCCTGGATCAATTCCTTCTCAGGCTGCTCCATAGAGGCCCAGGCCAAGTTCTCTCCCCTCCCAGGCAGAGACTCGTGATCGTAGACGCAGCCCTCGGCCCATCGTCTCGCCTGGTTCTCCAGATCCATGTCTGAAAAAAAATAACGGTTCATTACATATTTAATAATGCACACGAATTTTACTGGGTCAAAGGATTTTTGGAGTCTCAATGTTTACAAGCATTTATTTAACTTGCTTCCTTTCAGGGGCGGAACTACAGTGCCGCCAGACCCCGCAATGGGGGGGGGGGGCAGGCTGTTTAGGGGCCCCCGGCTGACCAAAATTAATATTTATAAAAAAAAAATGTGAATTTATTTTTCGTGAATTTTTGCCTTGATATTTGGTTTGTAAAAGAAAAACACTAGCTGCGGTACGATTATCTTTATTTTACAGTCACTATACCATGCTCTTCCGCAAAAGATAAAATCCATTACACAAACTACAGTGTAAAATATTAAAATATAGGCAACTCTTCAAATTTGAAGGACTTCTTTGACTCGTTGCCCCCCCCCCCCCCCCACCCTTGATAGCTAAATAGAGGACACGTAACTGTTTGACCGATCCCCCAAAGTGTACTGTGGCGGATGGGGCAGGGGATGGGGACCAAATAGAGGGCTACAAATTGTCGTCAAATTTTTTATAAATTTAAAAAAAGTTATTTATTGTTGTATTTTTTAACCATCGTCAAGGCCGAGTTCTATTTCCCTACAATCAAACACACGCTGTCGCCGGCAAAATTCTTTTTAAAAAAAAAGTCCATAGCACGAGAAGCCGCTACATATGAAGTGGGCTTTCATGATGCGCGGTTCTTCTTTGCGGCATTGGTTAGGGACCCGAAATCCATTGTACATTTCTCAATGTTAATATGTGTTTGTGATAGTGTTTGAATTTGTATCCTGTACTATCTTGTATCCTACAAATAATAAAACATAATATAAAACTAGAAACTTCAGTTTTATATACGTTTACTTGTTTTTGCTCTTACAAGAAATATCATAGTAAACTTTTAAGGCCTATACTTGGACTTATCTCCCCTGAGTAAGTTTTACAATGGGCGATGCTGAAGTACATAGGCGTTTTGTTGTCTCTTTCAAGATTTTTTCCCGAGCCGACCCCCATCCCATCCCTCTTTCTTAGCCTCGCAAGCTTTTTGTTAGTCGTTAAAAATGTGACGTCATACATACATATATATATATATATATATATATATATATATATATATATATATATATATATATATATATATATATATATATATATATATATATATATATATATATATATATATATATATATATATATATATATATGTATATATATATAGGGGCCCAAAAAAAATTCTGCGAGGGGGCGGGGGGCTTTTTTTCTTGTTCCGCCACTGCTTCTTTTATCTGATTGCCTGTCTGTCGCCACAGATTGAAACTACCAAGCGAAATTTCGAGCACTTCTGACTGATTCGTTTCAAACTTGGCAAGTGGGTCATGACCCGATGATAATGCAATCTGACATAAAATTTGACAAATTGGATGCCACATTTATTTTCTATGAATTAATTAATATTTACTAAATAAAGTAGGGGACCTACTTTTTACGCACTATTATACGAGCATTTGAATGTTTATTTGGTGTGCAATAGTGTTTAGTCATGCAACTCTAGTGTACCGAAAAAAAGATTAAAAACGTTTTAGTGTAAGCCCTGCTAGGGGGGGGGGGGGGATACCTTAAAATCTATCTACCCTTCCCTAGGCTTATCTTTTACCGTCCGGTCCATGCAAGCCCGGCTAAACCAAGACTGGTTAATAATCTAACCTTAGTCTAAATAATAAAAACAAAAAGCTTTTAACAATTAATTAAATTTATTACATGGAACCAATCAAAATAAGAAAGATGATAAACTACAGAATACACAAAACACGACTAAACAAAACAAACTTTTTACACCAAACAAAACAGACGTAATAGAACAAAACACCCGATTTCGTACCACCGTCCAGGTTTGTAACGAACACATACACAAAATAATAAGGGCTAGATGATGTACTTTATACTTGATGGTAAGAGGAACGCCTTCGTCCTCACCTCATCGCTTCAGCACACACAAAAGACAAAATCATCCAGCCGGAAATCGACTTTCACACACCTCACACACTACACGTAAACAAATAGTCCCTAATTCACGGATAACAAACCAAACGCCACGAAACATGCAACAGAAATATATTAAAAGACACTTAATATAAACCTTGACAACAATATAAACGAAATATATACAAACTAGCTGTAAACAGGGACATAAACAGTGAGACAGCGGCGCCATAATACGGGACTACACAACTAAAAAATACGAATAATTTACGACATGAAACGAAACGATACATCCGCCTTCTAAGTTACGTTTTTCATCGCTTATAGTAGAGTGATCGCTTGCATTATTGTGATGTATAGTATTTATTTTCTACTTTTTAGTTCAATCAGAAAACGTGGGTTTTTAAAAACTTTTTTAATGATAATTATTTTCTACTTTTTAGTCTTTGTCTGTTTGTTTGCATTAAAATCTTGCTATCGATTTTATCTTTTCGCATTCACTTTTTTTTTTGGTAAACGAAGACAACTCGTAAAAAACACGTGCCTTGAACCCGTGTCGAGTGGGTTAGCAATCGTGTGCACAACCACTCGACCATATCGTCTCCCCCATACTGTCCACCAGTTGTTACGGTTGTTTGTACACAAACACCGCGTGAACACTACTCAGTAAAAAGAGGGAAAGTACCGAACCTTGTTTTCATCAAATTACAGTTACTGGGTTATGTCCCCTTTTCCCCACGTTTTTACTACAATTATATAGCGGTCTAAAATGCTCAATAAAATGTTTCCATGGATCAATTTAGTAATAATAACAATTGAATATTCTATGGTCATCGGAAACAAAGCTTCCCTGAAAATTTCAGCGCGCTAGCTAACCGGGAAGTGCCCGAAATATCGATCGCAAGATTTGATTGGAGAACCAAACAAACAGACGCGAAAGCAAGTTAAAGAAAACGTGGGAATAACATGAAATTTGAAAGTTTTCACCGTTTCACTCCTCAGTCCTTCATCACATCCGGAGTATAGAGGACTTATTTTAATCAGGAAAAAATTATAAATACAAATATATAAACATTTTGGCGTTTTATGCGTTATCGAGTCGTAAAAACTGGACTTAGCAATTCTGTCCGTTGTCTGTGTGTCCGTGTGTCCGTGTGTAAACACGATAACTTGAGTACCGTTACAGCTGAGTTGATGAAATTTCATATATAAGTATTTTATCAAAATCGTAGATCCATATCAACTTTTGAGCGATTTCCAATAACCGGAAGTGGTACTTTTTCTACTTTGAATTGTTCAAAAGCCTATAACTTGAGTACTATTTCAGATAGATAAATGAAATTTCACATGTAAGTAAAAGATCTAATTCTCTACCTTCCGTCAAATTTTGAGTAATTTCCGTTGACCGGAAGTACTAATTTACGCTATTTCCGATTTCTCAAAAAAAGCATGTAAATTTATAAAGTACTAATAATATTGCGCACTTTTATGCACATTTTGTTTTGGCGTTCGCTTGGTGCGCAATTCTTTTTTTTCTACGAGATATTATTCTATTGTTAAAAGTTTAAGTAATTAAAAATCTTGTCTATATTTCGAGTTACTTAAGAATATTCGAGAAAGTTTAGGGGAGATCACTCCCGGTTTATTTCCTATCTTTTCCATAGGATCTCTCAGATACTTTGGAATGCAAATTTATAGGAGTTTAAATTTATTATATTTTACACTGATTATATTTTTCCTAAATAATTCATTTAAAAAAAAAATAGAATCGTGATATAAACTATTTTAAAACAACAAGTACTGAATCCATTAATGTAGCCACACCTCCACCCAGCTAAGAGTAGCCTCCCTTTGTTGTGTATGACGTACCGTAGATGAGCTTGTTTATCTGGCAACCTCCTTCCTTCCTCCTCTTGTCGTTGTGAAGTTCAAGGACGTAGTCACGCATCTCTTGGTTCCAGTTGGACACCAGCGCCAGAGAGGCGACAAAAATGGCGGAAAAACACGTCACAAGCAGAAGACAATTCATGGTTCTGGTTTAGCTGAAGTTCCCTGCAAATTGTTAATATAATAAAGTATTGATGGTTTTTTCTTCTTTTTTTACAAGCTTTTATTTAACTCACTTTCTCGTCAGTCTGTCGTCAGTCTGTCTAGATCGAAACGGCCGAGTGAAATTGCAGGCACTTCTACCTGACAGATACGGTTCGTAATTGGAATGTGGGTCAAGACATGAAGACAATGCATCGTGTCATTAAATTTGACTTAATTGGAAGCCTAATTAATTTTTAATAAATTTTAATAACTGTAAAACGTAGAACTTAATTATATTCAGCTGGCGTAATATTACAGTGCTGACAATAATAGTTATAAATTGTACTACAATAGTTGCTTCTATATTTGATACTCACTATATTATGATTGACTTTTCAAAGCTAAATAGGGTTGAAAATAAATGCATTTTTTAAATTAGTAAAACTCTCATTATTATTCATTACACTAATTGCATCAGGAAAACATTACACAGTGTGTTTCAACACGAAGGGTGTAGCTAAATCACTATTTAAAAAGACTGATTGGTGTTGTACAGCAATATATTACTTGAAGCAGTGGCGTAGCGAGGTCGGGTGTCACCCGGTGCGGCACTTAATGGAGTCACCCCCCCCCCCCCCCCAGAGGCATAGAGACCCTTCCCAGGGACAAACTTTCAAATTTTCGATTTGCACCCCCCTCAAACTTTCGATTTGCACCCCCCCCCCTCAAACTTTCGATTTGCACCCCCCCCCCTCGAGTTTTTCTCTATATATGTTGCTATTTTTTGCCTTGGTGTCACCCCCCTAAATGGTGTCACCCGGTGCGCTCCGCACCCCCCCGCCCCCCCCCCCCCCCTCGCTACGCCCCTGACTTAAAGAGAATTAGAGCCAGTTCTCGCCTAGAGCCTCTGTTTTGTGAGAGTTAAAAAAAACCAGTGATCTAACTGAACCCACGAGGTAAAAAATAAATAAAATAATGTATGTGTTACTTCCTTCCTTATACGGAAACCGGCTCAGAAGGTTCACTTCCATTAGCCAGGCAGGCCTCAGTGTAGCAAACTCCGACCACAAGAGTTCCCCACACATCGGTCGCTACTTCCGTGGGCTCTCACCGGGCTTTCCTTCCCCACCCACCAGACGCGGGACGTCGTCCCACCGCCTGGTACCCAGCTTGATCGTGGGGGGCATTCCGCCAGATCAAAACCCTCTAGCTACTGTTATCTGCCACTGGCCATTCCGCACCCACTAGGCGGGACATGAGTTTGATCGGACCAGTGGCATTATTCCGAAGCCCCGTTAAGGCCGCCGCTTAAAGTCAAAGAAAGATCTGGCGGCGGACTCTTTTGGTTCCCGGCAGTCTTGCACCTCTCCTCCCCCACGCTATTATGTGGGGGACTTGGGAGTCCGACGTACCAGGCTCTTCGGAAGAGCCGAACGCATACAGCAGTTCTACTCGGCCAGATCAAAAACCTCTAGCTGCTGTTGGCTACCACTAGCCATCCCGTACCCACTAGGGGGGGTCATGAGCTTGGTCCGACTAGTGGCACACATCCGAAGCCACGTGAAGACCGCAGCTTAAAGTCAAGACATCTGGTTAGGGTCGAGAGTAAAACCCTTCATGGTTCCCGGCAGTCTTGCACCTCTCCTCCCCCACGCTATTTAGAGCAAGCAACGGAGATTCGCCCGTCTAGTGCGGACAAATCTCCTGGCTCGTTATCATATAGGGGACTTGGGAGTCCGACGTACCAGGCTCTTCGGACTGTATGTGTTACTATAAGCTTCAATAAGCGAATAGATTATAATGTATGTGTATTTAATTATTACTAAAACATATAACATAGTTTATCACAACAATATTTTTTAAATGCACTAAAACGTTAAGAACATTTTTAATACGATATTGAAAAGGGTTGGTCGAAAACTTCAGAATTCAATTAAAAAAAATAGCTTTGGGTTGACCAATACTCTAAACAGATAGTGTCTCTTACTCGGTGATATTTGATTAACATATGTTTACATATTTTAATAAGAGCATACGCATATATATTCTGTACTAAAGTAACCTCCCTAAACGTAACAAGCTGTAATATAACAACAGAGAACTACCGCTGGTTTCATCCAACAGTCTGGCTAGATATTCTTAGGAAGACAAATAATTTTTTTCTACATAAACAACCTTAGTTGTCATTTGATATAAACTTCAATAGTCGAAATACTAAACTAGATAAAAACCACTCGAATATGTAAAGTGGTATAGCTAGATATACATTACACAGATTTATATAGTGATTAGCTAGGCCTACATTACACTGACATATATAGTGACATAGCTAGACCTACATTACTCTGATCTATATAGTGATTCATCTAGTAGTAGTATATTAGGTCCCTTTTGGTTAGCATGGCGCTGGCGCTGGAGGATGTGGTGGGTGAAGGCGCAAAGGATATATAGTAAAATACTCACCCACCCACCTGGGTGAGGGTGGGTGAAGTGGGGTGGCGCAGGGTGGCGCAGGCCGGCGGGACAACGAGATATAGGAAAATAATCACCTACCTGGTTGAGGGTGGGTGAGGCGGGTGGGTGAGGGTGGGTGAGGCGGAGGGGGAGTAGGTCAGTAGGTCACCGGAGAGTTAGACATGTTATATAGTAAAATACTCCCCCACCTGGCGAAGGGTGAAGGGTGAGGGTTAGACGTGTGTGTTATATAGTAAAAAACTCCCCCACCTGGCGCAGGGTGAAGGGTGAAGGGTGAGGGTTAGACATGTTATATAGTAAAATACTCCACATCCTGGGTGAAGGTGGGTGAGGGTGGGTGAGGCGGGTGGGTGAGGGTGGGTGAGGCGGAGGTGGAGTAGGGCAGTAGGTCAACATACAAACAAAATGAATTAAACCAATCAAATAAACAACAAATAAACAACAAACAACAAAAAAACAAACAAACATATAACCCTCACCCTTCACCCTTCACCCTGCGCCAGGTGGGGGAGTTTTTTACTATATAACACACACGTCTAACCCTCACCCTTCACCCTTCGCCAGGTGGGGGAGTATTTTACTATATAACATGTCTAACCCTCCGGTGACCTACTGACCTACTCCCCCTCCGCCTCACCCACCCTCACCCACCCGCCTCACCCACCCTCAACCAGGTAGGTGATTATTTTCCTATATCTCGTTGTCCCGCCGGCCTGCGCCACCCTCTTCACCCACCCTCACCCAGGTGGGTGGGTGAGTATTTTACTATATATCCTTTGCGCCTTCACCCACCACATCCGCCAGCGCCAGCGCCATGCTAAACAAAAGGGACCTAATATACTACTTCTAGATCTATATTACACTGATCTATATAGTGATATAGCTAGACCGACATTATACTGATCTAGAATAGTAATTCAGCTAGATATACGTTACACAGATTTATATAGTGATTAGCTAGAACTACATTACACTAATCTATGTAGCTTTATAGCATGACATACACCACATTAATATCAAGAGAAACTCACCTGTCACCTAGAAGCTGACGGTACCAGATCAAAGTTTACTGGTGCTACGATTCTCTGTTAGTACCCACTGGCTTATATAATCCCGCAGCTCTACAGCAATTATGGAAATAGAAAATTTACCGAAATGTCAGTCGAAGAAAGCTTTAATTATATATTCAAATGAAATTGCCTGCCATTATATAATATCTAGAAATTAGCAATTTCCCAGCCCTATCGTTTTATTTTATCGCCCACCCCACGACATGAAATCCCTACTTTGTATGAGAACCCAACATCTTTTTTTATCTACCCCATAAACCCTAGCCTTTCGGGTCAACCTACTGATCGCTTATATTACAGTATAACCCCAGAAAAGGGCAGTAGTGTACCTTCTTTTAAATGTTTATAAGCCGTAAGTTTTGAAACGTGTTGTGAAAAAGAGGAATTCCTAAATTGCCCTTCATTGAAAAAGTATTGTAAAGTGAATAAATTAGTATAAAAAAATTATCCATGTAATTAATTATTTTTAAAAAAAGTTAATTAATCTCTATTATTTTAATGTAATGTTTAATTGTACTAAGAAGCACTTCCCTTTCGATGCACGATAATTATTGTAAAATGTAATATGGTGAAATGCTTTGAATATATTTCAGACAAGCCTCTCTCTCCCCTCTCTCTCTCTCTCTCTCTCTCCCTCTCTCCCTCTCTCTCTCAAAACGCAGCTCTCTTTGATCAGCTTTTACTACATTTCGAAATGTCTCCATTACAGCCACTTTAGTTCAGGTATCTACTGGTCTCTCTCTGTGCTGATGCGGCTGTCCTGATCTGCTCGTACAGCCTCGAACTTTACACTTCATCGAGTTGTTTCCAGTGGCGTAGCTAGGGGAGGGTGGGTGGGGCGGCTGCCCCGGGCGCCGATCCTAAGAAGGCGCAAAAATGGGCGGGAAAGAGTTTAAAAGGTTATTTATGCTTGGATATTTAATTCAAGTCTCGTTAGTTAGGGAGAGATAAAATTTTCTAACTAAATCTACTGCTGTAAACGGGATTCCTATCGATAGAAAAAAAACATGGCGGCTATTTGTTATTAGGCCCCGCTTCAAGATTTAATAAACCGGGAGTGATCTCCCCTAAACTTTCTCGAATATTCTTATTTAACACTTTATATATTCATGCATATATATATATATATATATATATATATATATATATATATATATATATATATATATATATATATATATATGTAAGCCCTATTAATACTAATAGTTTCGCTGTCTGTCTATCTATCTATCTATCTGACAAGAACGCTATAGAGAAAACACAAGCAATTTAAAAACGTTCACAGTGAAACGAAAACGAAATATGACGTCAAGCCGGAGAGTGCACACAGTAATATGACGTCATTGATTCTCGAGTAAACATTGAATAAAAAGGCAATTTTGTCTAATCTAAATGGTTTGCGTGAAGAGTTTCTTGCATACAATTCTTCGGGTAGGGGCGAAGCCCCACCCCCCCGCGTAAGAACGTGTGAGCACCCCCCCCCCACCTCCCCAACTCAAAAGAAATTTCTTCATCGATACTCTATAATAAAATTACCGCCTAATTAATGTGTCTAATCTAAAAAGTGGTTTTCTTGCAATTTCTTTAATGCAATTCTTCGGGTAGTGGCTAAGCGCGACACCAGTGTTTCTTTCAGACTTTTTCCTCCCCGGAGAGGGGTGGGGGTACTTGAAATTTTCGGGGGCGGGGGTAGAATTTTCGGGGAGGGGGCGGACACTGGAAAAAGTATATAATTATATTTCGTTGAATGGGACGGTAGACATGTTTTGTGGTGTGTGTTATGGGGGGGGTGGGATGGGGGGCGGGGGGGGGGGGGGCGGAGCCCCCTCCTCCCAAGTAGAGTTGCCTGAAAGAAACTCTAAATGCGACTTTTGTCATGAATGAGATTAGGTGCATGGTTTAGGGATATGCCTATGACTATATTTTATATAAATTAAAGTACCGATTCTGAATAAAAATCCGTTTTCAATGTCATTTTTTCGTTTCCGGTTAAATTGAACTAAGGTGGTGATTTTGGTTTTGGTTTTAGTTTAGAGAAAATAGACAGCACTATCTACCTAGCGCCCGTTGTATCCTCAACGGGCTATTTTTCTCGTATATGCATAGAGTTTTATATATATATATATATATATATATATATATATATATATATATATATATATATATATATATACCTATATATACATACATAAAAGTGTTCATTGTGTTACTTATCAGATAAACCGGTATCAAATTTGATACTTAACCCTTACACCAGACAAGAAATCAACACTACAGTTAGTGACAAGAGGAAACACAACATAATTTTTAAAGCAGAGGCCTATGTCGTAGGTTGGACAGAGGGTCCTGTTCAAGTGCAGTTTTACCTGCTCAAGACGGGGAAAAAGATGTTCACAAACGTGAGGTTTTATTTCGTTTTTATCTTATAGAAAACTGTAACAGTAAGGCGAGGTGCAACATTTGCTTAGCTTTTTCAAAACACTTTAAAGCGTCTTTACTAAATACATGTTAACACACACACACACACACATACACACAGAGAGAGAGAGAGAGAGAGAGAGAGAGAGAGAGAGAGAGACGTACGTACACACACACACACACGCACTCAACACATTCATACATGTACATACCCTATCTTTACTAATAAGACTGTTATTATTATCGTTATCAATAGCTCCAAACATACCTGAAAAAGGATTCAAACAAATCATAAAACGGATAAAGAACTTCCCCTAACAATAAGATCGTCAATGTCAAATAGATTTTGACGCTGTCCATATGATTGTAAATATACTAAATAATATTTGTTAATTACTGCACACTGCAGCTCATACTAATGAAATGCTGGCACAGGAATATTGTTATTAATAAACATTCGGGTACCTTGAAAATTTGGTCCCAAATTACCGAAATAATGCGCTGTCCCATTTGTTACTTGTCCCACTTCTCACCACTCTGACCTATATATATATATATATATATATATATATATATATATATATATATATATATATATATATATATATATATATATATATTTATATTTATATATCTGAAGCTCTGCAACGTGAGTCTAACCAATGGATGTGTTCCGAACCTACAAGCCTTGTGTTACTGTAACCACACAGACAGCACCAACACACACCACATTGTGGTCAACCTAACAGCTGACCTTGACTACAGTGATGCTCAGATCCAGGCCCGTCTGGTCAGTGACAGTAGTGCCAGTATTTACAGCCAAGTCCAGCACTTCCCTACTATATACAGTAAGCTTATCTTTAATTATGAACAATAAGGTAATCTTTAATTATGTACAATAATATTATCTTTAATGATATACAGTAAGTTTATCTTTAATTATGTAAATTAAGGTTATCTTTAATGATATTCAGTAAGCATATCTTTAACAGAGTTTCTTCCAGGCATCTCTTCGGGGGGTGGGGGGGGCTTCGCCCCCCCCCCCCCCCGAATTTTTTTTACCCCCCCCCCCCCGCCCCCCGAACGAAATGAAATTTATATAATTTATATAGAAAATATATACTTTTAACAGTGTCCACCCCCCCGAAGAAAGTCTACCGCCCCCCCCCCCCCCCGAAAATTTCAAGTGCCCCCCCCCCCCCCCCGGAGAAAAAAGTCTGGAAGAAACACTGATTTTTAATGATAGTCAGTAAGCTTATCTTTAGTGATATACAATAAGCTTGTCTTTAATGATATACAATAAGGTAATCTTTAATTATGTACAATAATATCATCTTCAATGATATACAGTAAGTTTATCTTTAATTATGTAAAGTAAGGTTATCTTTAATAATATACAGTAAGTTTTTCTATAATTATGTAAAGTAAGCTTATCTTTAATTATGTACATTAAGCTTATCTTCTACTGTATACAGAAAGCTTATCTTCTACTATATATAATAAGTCTATCTATAACTAGATAAACTCGCTTAATTTCAACTGTAATTTCTACTGTATACATTAGGCCTATCTTCTACTACATACGGAAGGCTTATCTTGTTCTATATACCTTCCGTTATTACACCATTAAATAGACAGACCATTCAATGAAAGCTTAGGGTTTCTGTCATTACAACCATCGGATATTTGTAAAGCTCTGAATCGTTATCGCTATATGTTCCATTAGAAAAACAATGTCGTACTTTCCATGTATAAGATTAACATATTTTAATCGCTGAGTTTTATGATGGAGAAAATTGCGTCTACCTTTATCAGTTTTTTTTTGTTATATAAAAGTGAAGTGTTACATTACAAGTTAACATTGAGAAGACTATTCTATGCTAGACATCTGAAACATTTTAGGTAGTTATTCATCTCCAAATGTATAATTTAAAAGTATTAAAAATAAATAAATAAATAAATAAAAAATAAATAAATAAATAAAAAACAGTAAATTAGATAAGAGCTCATGTTCGATCGTTGGTGCTGTGATTGAGCAGTTCTGTCGAGCACACGAGCAACACCACAACTCAAGGCTTCACGTTTTCTTTACCTTCGTCTCACAGGTGACTTAGACCATGACACAGAGAGTCCTCATCTTCTGGTTACCGTGGTAACGGTACCTGGCGCTGTGCTGCTCCTGTCGGTGTTGATATGTTGCGTCATAGGTAACTTCACGATTAGTACAGCTTTATTTGTGATTCATAGGTAACTGCTGCATTTATAGACATCTTTGTGTGATAGGTAACTACAAGATTCTTATAGCTTTATGTGTGATTCAAAGGTAACTACTGCATTCATAGACATCTTTGTGTGAAACAATTCCAGATTCGTAAACTATTCTGTGCAACTGTGATGTGTAGTAGATTTTTCTTTTCAGTATCGTAGAGTGTCATATAAAACTATGTTTGTCGTATTTTGGTTGTTCGTAGTAGCTTTGATTAAATTTAACAAGGGGTGGGATGGGTAGGGCAGGGCTTCAGCCATCTAGAACAATACAAGGGTATCGTGATAAGTACTTAACAACTTTATAAAGATTATGAGTAGGCCAATTATCGAGGTGATAAATACATTTTCCGTTGCTTATTTTTTGTCCTTTCTTTAAAAATAGATTGTTACTTAAGTTTAAAGGTAGTACATTTTTTTTTCTTAGGGAGAGAGATGTTGATGACGATTAGTATCGGGTAACAACAACTGTTATATGAACTTTGTTATGTCTACCCCCCCCCGCCCCTCTCCCCCCAATCCCCACCCCTACCCTGTATGTTTAAACACAGTTACGTAATATGTCTGTTTACCCTAATGTTTAGGAAGACGAAATCAGCATATATATATATATATATATATATATATATATATATATATATATATATATATATATATATATATATATATATATATATATATATATATATATATATATATATATATATATATATATATATATATATATATATATATATATATATATATATATATATATATATACTTTTTTAAATTTGATTTTAGCGATATACAAGAAGAAAGTGGTCAAGGTCCGTTTAAGGTAACTATTGGTTTATCATACTGTAGTCCATTACATTTGTTGAGGAAGTGATGCCACTGACTTAGGCTCCATGAAGGATGAATCAAAACATAATGTATGATGATTTAAACGCGATGTGACATACGTCAATGTTACACTTTTTGAACCTAGTGGAAGATAGTGTTGACCTGTTTCAGTGACCTCGGCATGTGAGGCTTGGTGTGGTCAGCATTAAAGCATAGCCGGCTTTACCCTCCCTTACCTGAGTCAGGTACTCGTTAGAGCTGAGCTGACTCGACTCAGGCAAGTCTTATAGACCAGAGCCTGAGATCCGAACTCGAAATCTTCGGCGTATTAGCCGTGTGCTCTACAATCCGACCACGCCGTCCTACAAACGCTACGTAAATATTATCACAAGTAGCCAATCAATATTATTCATTAATCTCAATAACGGATGCATTTTATTAAAAGTTATCATAAGGTCAATTTTTCTGTGATTTTTGCCAAAAAAAAAAATTTGTTACGAAAATGTAGGATAGTCAAATCTAAATTTATTTCTTGCTCAGTACTATTTTTACTTCAACAATTTCTTTAGCTAATAATCCGTTCAAATTTTTTTAAAGCTCAAAACAGCGCAGGAGAAATTTAAAAGATGAAAATGGTAAGTCCTGGTAATTTTATTTTATAAGAGGAAAAACATTTTATTTATAAGTTTTCTTGAAACTATATATTGATTTCGTGTGTATTGTTGATCCTTTAGACGAGACCAGAGCAACTGTCATGGAGAGCACCGAGTATCCCTTTCAGGATTGTAGCTTGTACGAGTATATTGATGACTGTAACGATGGAACGCGAACAAAAATTGGACGGAACTCACAACACGATCTAATGGTTTGGTTTGGAAATACAAGGGAGGTAATCGACAAGGGAGGTAAATCACGTGTTGTGTTGAACTATGACCTGAGTGGCGGGGCTAGTCTCCGTAGGTCGCAGCACCGGATGTGTGACGTAGCTGTGGTCGGTGATGGGTACTTAGCACCTGCTGGAAAACCGGAAGTGGATGTACAGAGTGATGGTTACGTCACACCTTTTGGAAGACCGGGAATAGCTGTAGTAGAGGACGGCTACATAACACCAATCTGACAACAGGCACAATCTGTCTTTTTATTAGGGTTTATGTGCAATCAGTACACTTGCTACATGTCATGACCCAAACGCATTTTTAAAAATTTGTTTTTTTTTTTAAAATAAAACATGAAGAAAATTGTATTAACAATTACGATACAAAGGACTATTCGTTAATATCAATAATACAAATCTATTCTAGGGATTTAAAAAAATGCATAAAAGCGTATTAAAAACAATGTTTTATGTAACAATTACAATGCACTAAATAAGAAGAAAAAAAAGATTTTCTTTAAATATATAATAAAGAACACATATTTAAATAACTATTATGCTGAGTACATAGAGAAATGTCGTGCCATCATCATCCATGACATATAGTATGTTGTGTGGACACAAAAAATATAACATACACATCATCAAAAAAATAAATATCTTCTAGAACAAGATAATGTATCCCTCTAGTTAAAATTAGTTTGCCTAAAGTGTACGTTTAATGAATTTAAAAAAAAACAACACAAGTACAAATCATTTTATTAAGTAAAAATTTTAATTCGCATTTTATTTTAAAATATAAAAAAAATTATAATTATTGTCGTCAAACAACTTTACTTATCAGATGCCAGTCAAACAGGAAAAAAAAACACCTCTAAACTACAATTTAAAAAAATTAAATAGTTACAAATAATCTGATACATCAGCACATGAAACCCACAAAAAGAAATTAAGCAAACACAAATTGGAATATTTGTTTCAACATAACTTTCCACAAAGGTGTGCAAATGGGAAAAAACACATACAAAAATCGTTTCTAACACACAAACCTATAGGCCTATTGATAATATATAATATAATATATATAATATAATATATTGATAATATATCATCATTTACAGCTCCGTGACTACATACTAGAAAAATGGCATGTAACATTATTTAGGTGTTACAATAAGCAAGGAAAAGAAAAAAAAATAATACATTTTCTAGACTGGTATCGTTACAGATACATCATTGATAGACAACAAAAACTAGACAGAAAAATCAATACATCTCAGGTTTAAAATCTAAAGATCTAGATTAAACACAGGAAATTTATAAAACTGTGACCAACTCAGGTTTAAAATCTAAAGATCTAGATTAAACACAGGAAATTTATAAAACTGTGACCAACTCAGGTTTAAAATCTAAAGATCTAGATTAAACACAGGAAATTTATAAAACTGTGACCAACTCAGGTTTAAATTCTAAAGATCTAGATTAAACACAGGAAATTTATAAAACTGTGACCAACTCAGGTTTAAAATCTAAAGATCTAGATTAAACACAGGAAATTTATAAAACTGTGACCAACTCAGGTTTAAAATCTAAAGATCTAGATTAAACACAGGAAATTTATAAAACTGTGACCAACTCAGGTTTAAAATCTAAAGATCTAGATTAAACACAGGAAATTTATAAAACTGTGACCAACTCAGGTTTAAAATCTAAAGATCTAGATTAAACACAGGAAATTTATAAAACTGTGACCAATTCAGGTTTAAAATCTAAAGATCTAGATTAAACACAGGAAATTTATAAAACTGTGACCAACTCAGGTTTAAAATCTAAAGATCTAGATTAAACACAGGAAATTTATAAAACTGTGACCAATTCAGGTTTAAAATCTAAAGATCTAGATTAAACACAGGAAATTTATAAAACTGTGACCAACTCAGGTTTAAAATCTAAAGATCTAGATTAAACACAGGAAATTTATAAAACTGTGACCAACTCAGGTTTAAAATCTAAAGATCTAGATTAAACACAGGAAATTTATAAAACTGTGACCAACTCAGGTTTAAAATCTAAAGATCTAGATTAAACACAGGAAATTTATAAAACTGTGACCAACTCAGGTTTAAAATCTAAAGATCTAGATTAAACACAGGAAATTTATAAAACTGTGACCAACGCAGGTTTAAAATCTAAAGATCTAGATTAAACACATGAAATAAAACAGGGTCCTACGTGTCGGAGCACACAATAATGCCCAAATGACCTATCCCCAAAAGTCATCCTCAGGATTCTTTTTCCAGAAAATATCCTTGTCTTTGAGCCTGTAGGACGGGAACGCGAGGTCTTGGTCCCTGTTTCGTTTGACGGTCGAGGTGCTAGTCTGGTCGCCGTCCGAGTCACGTGTCTTCTCCGAGGGTCCAGGTGAGTCGTCAGACGTGTCCAGGTCCTCCTGGTCGTTGACATCCCCCACCCGCCCGGCGTCCACGCTTTCCGATGTTTTCTCGGAGGGTTTCCGGGACTCGAATTTTTGTGAAGCGCTCCCTCGTCTATGGGGTCTCGTTGATTTCTCGTCTGCTTCGTCTGCGCTGGATCGTTTGCGGGGTATGTCCGGAGATTTGTCGTCGTCACGACTTTTGTCGTATTTTCGTTGCCCGCGCGCATTTTCATCGTCTGAATCTTGTTCGATCCGACTTTTTACTTTTTGCTTGTTTTGATTTCCGGCGAGTTTTCCGCGCGCATTTTCATCTTCTGAATCTTTTTCAATCCGACTTTTTGCTTTTTGCTTGTTTTGATTTCCGGCGAGTTTTCCGCGCGCATTTTCATCGTCTGAATCTTGTTCAATCCGACTTTTTACTTTTTGCTTGTTTCGACTTCCGGCGAGTTTTCCGCGCGTATTTTCATCGTCTGAATCTTGTTCAATCCGACTTTTTACATTTCGTTTATCTCGACTTCCGACGAGTTGCCCGCTCACAATATCATCGTCTGAATCCTCTTTACTCCGACGTTTTACTTTTCGTTTCTCATTACTCCCAGCGATTTGCTCCGTATCAGGGTCTACATTGGTGTCGTACGCCTCGTCTAAATCTTCACCATCCGGATCCTCCTCGGATGTCCTCACAACGGATTTACCCCCGGCCTTGATTGCTGATGCCTTTTCAGCAGATTTATTCCCACTTCCGGCTTTACTCGCATTCTTGCTCTGAACTACCTCCGTTCTTCTGTTCTCCAGAGCTTTATGTTTTGAAGGCGTTTCTTCAGTCGAATTCCCGTTCTGATTCGCGACTCTTTCCAATCGAGCTTTGCCTGCCGCCTTCCTAGACGCCTGCATATTTCTCTTCAATCTTTTCGTCGATTCCGGCTCGTTCTCCTCATCACCCCCCTCGCCTATCGCATCTGATTTTGTTTTTTTGAAATCCCCATCTCTTTTATTGACCGACTGCCATTTCCAAGCGACCGCGGGTTGCGGGTCTGTTTTGTTTTTTAGGTTTTTTTTCGGGAGGTCCAGAGGCTCGTTGTCGTTGTCCTTCTCGGCCGAGTCGTCAGAGTCTGCGAGCTCGGTTTTCTTTGGTTCCCTGGCGGAGGGGGGACGGCGGACCACTGGCTGGAGGACGCCGGTCAGGCGAGCCGCGGCCAGGCCGGCGACGGACATGCGGGCGTTGGTCAGCCGGGGGTTCCTTAGGGTGGCCTTTCTGTCAAAAACGACCCTGATAGAGGGAAGTTAGGGCAAGTCATGCATGGTTTTAAATTCAACAGTTAGACCAATCATAGTGTGTTAACTATTCAATGTAAGCCAGTTAATATAGACATTAGATCATTCTGTATAGTATAGCCATTGAAACAACACACCATTCGGTATACACATTGCACACCATTCACTATAAATACTACAACAACACACACCTTTCTGTATAGACTTTACAACAACACACCATTCTGTTAAACAAAATTGTAACAGCACACCATTATCTATAGATACTACAACAACACACACCGTTCCGTATATGTATTACAATTACACACACCATTCAGTATATGTATTACAATTACACACACCATTCAGTATATGTATTACAATTACACACACCATTCAGTATATGTATTACAATTACACACACCACTCAGATATGTATAACAATTACACACACCATTCAGTATATGTATTACAATTACACACACCACTCAGATATGTATTACAATAACACACACCATTCAGTATATGTATTACAATTACACACACCACTCAGATATGTATTACAATTACACACACTATTCAGTATATGTATTACAATTACACACACCATTCAGTATATGTATTACAATTACACACACCACTCAGATATGTATTACAATTACACACACCACTCAGATATGTATTACAATTACACACACCACTCAGATATGTATTACAATTACACACACCACTCAGATATGTATTACAATTACACACACCATTCAGTATATGTATTACAATTACACACACCACTCAGATATGTATTACAATTACACACACCATTCAGTATATGTATTACAATTACACACACCACTCAGATATGTATTACAATTACACACACCACTCAGATATGTATTACAATTACACACACCACTCAGATATGTATTACAATTACACACACCATTCAGTATATGTATTACAATTACACACACCACTCAGATATGTATTACAATTACACACACCATTCAGTATATGTACTACAATTACACACACCACTCAGATATGTATTACAATTACACACACCATTCAGTATATGTATTACAATTACACACACCACTCAGATATGTATTACAATTACATACACCATTCAGTATATGTATTACAATTACACACACCACTCATATATGTATTACAATTACACACACCACTCATATATGTATTACAATTACACACACCATTCTGCCAAGACATCACAACAACACACACCATTATGTATTAACATTACAACAATACACTTTTACGTTACTACAACACACACCATTCTCTACAGACATGAAATAACTGACTAAATTCGATAAAGAAAACAAAAAAAAAACCTTTTTATTAACAATCACTCACTAAACTCCATCACGATCAACACATAACAACATCCAGCCACCACGAAAAAGACACCTACAAAAAAACGTTGAAACAAATATCTAAAAATAGCCTACGATTGTTTTTGTACACGTGCACGTAACATGTGCTCATCGCTTGATTGGCTGCCGGAGTCTCCTCCCCCGGATGTGGACATTGACCTTGACTTTGTGGTTCCCATTTCTGGCGCGACCGTTAATTTGCCCATCAAATTCTAGAGAGGAAACAAGGAAACGAATTGTCAGACTTACCATCATGTAGAGAGAAACCATATTGTAGCCAATGAATGATAATATTTTTTAAAGTCAAGTTGTAATGAACACGATATCGCAGGAATGGCGCTAAACTGGACGCTTCAAGGGAAAAGAAATTAAGGAAGACCAAGGAAGACGTGGAGGCGCACGGTCATGAAGCAGCTAGCAGAGGCAGGACTGTCATGGGGGACTGCCAGGAAAATTGCCGGTGACCGAAAAAAGTTGAGGGCAGTGTTTCTTTCAGACTTTTTTCTCCAGGAGGAGAGGGGCACTTGGAATTAATTTTCGGGGGGGGGGGGGGGGGGGGGGGCGAATACATTTTCCGAGAGGGGGGGAGCGGACACTTACAAAAATATGTATTTGCTGAATAAATTCTATTTCGTTCGTGGAAGGGCGGTAGACGTTCTTGGGGGGGGGGGGGGGGGGGGGAGAGGCGCAGCCCCACCCCTCTCCCGAAGAGATGCCTGGAAGTAACGCTGGTGGGGGGAGCTTTCCGTGTCTTGTGTACAAATAGGAAAAGATGATAATAAAAAGAGAAGCTATCTTTTAGCCCCTAAAGTAATGGAACAGTATTTCAAAGTGTAATTGACAGAAAAACATTTCAGCCATAAAATAAATATAAAAACCTTAATAAAATAAGCTTTTAAATGCACTAGAATTATTTTTTTTAAATATAAAAAATTGCTTTTTTTTTTATAAAATTGGTCGCTTAAATATTTTAGAAGCAATTGCTTTTATTATAACTAGTCATTTTGTAAAAAAAAAAATCAGTTTATTTGAAATCTTATTTTTATAACGGTTTTTATATATATATGTTACGGTCAAAGCCCGAAGTGCGGCCAAACCCCGGATTGGCCGGCCAATGCGCGGATTGGCCGGCTCTCTTGGCCAAAGCCCGAAGAACTTAGAACTAAGGTCGTATTTCGTACATTGGCCGGCCAATGCGCGCACTGGCCGGGACGTACTGGCCAAAGTCCGAAGTGCTTAAACTTGACAGCGTATTTTGTACATTGGCCGGCCAATGCGCGCATTGGCCGGGATGTCCTGGCCAATGTTCTATCTAGACTAAGTTGTGATCGCGTTTTCATTATTCTGGGTGCGGTTTCATTGTGAGTAACGTATTGTTTAGCTCTTGTTTGTACAGCTCATTCTTGTGGATCCTGTGGCAAAGATGTCCATGCTATTTGTGGAGTACCCAATTAAGCAGACGAAGGGTACGGAGGGAACATTACCTGCAGATTGTGTCACAACAAACAAGACATCATGGAACACAGGTCAGCAGCTCATACTGGCTTGCAAACTCAAGGTGCTAAGATGCTTAAAACATCAAATACAAAATTTAAAGATGCTGAAGTGGGTGACAATGTACGCATCCGTGTTCCAGATGTTGACAGAGGTCGCGGTGATCCCCGAAGCGTGATTGCAGTTGTCATGAGCGTCGAGGGCGGTTTCTACAAATTAGGAGCGGAACATGGTGTTCTAAAACAACTGTATGCTAGAAGTGAGTTTTCAATTCTTCACGAAAAACTGCTCTTATGGTCGTCAGTTGGCACTGAGGAAAAATCACTACGAACCATCGCATCTTCACAATCATCGACAATAAAAACTTAATTTCATAATCCTTACGGCATTAAAAAAAAAATCTGCTCATGATTTTCTAATTCGGACTTTAACGGGTCGTCTCTAGCCAGATGATCTTCTAATTAAGACTTTGGCCGGTCCACCATGGCCAGTCCGAGGACTGGCCGGCCAAAGGCCGAAATCAAGAGCTATTTCAGACTTTGGCCGGTCCACCATGGCCAGTCTGCGGATTGGCCGGCCAAAGGCCGAAATCAAGCAAAGTTTCGGACTTTGACCGACCTATGGGAGGCGATATTGGCCAATGCGCGGATTGGCCGGCCAATCCTAGCATTGGCCGACTTCGGGCTTTGACCGTAACATATATATTTTTAAACTTAAACAGCAAACCATTAACCCTAAGCGTAACAACATACAGAGGAGTACGTCTGAGCTTATCGTACATGTTTTCCTAGATAAAAGCTTACCTCTAGCTCCCCGTGGATACCTTCTGGGTAAAACTCCCGGGTCTTGCCGTCTGGTTCCAGCAGAACTTGACTGGTGACAGAACAAAATGTCTGGGTCAAGTTTAGTGTGAGGGTGGCAGCCGTGGCGGCCGGGGTGAGGGGGGGGGGGGGAGGGGCAGGCGACAAGTGGACGACTGACAACTCTGGGAGATCAACTTTTCTAGGACGTGGTGGTGTCGGTAAAGCCACAAGATTTAACCAAAGACCAACATTTTGACATGGGTAAATGATTGTAATATATGTAAATGATTTTCTGTAATGCAGGTGGTTCCTACCAGTGACATGGGTTGGTATCTGTTCAGTGGCGTAGGCAGGGGGGGTTAGGGGGTCATAACCCCCCCCCCCCCCATAGACCCCTCGGTATATATATATAAAGTATGAGGGGGGGGGGTGTAAATCGAAAGTTTGAGGGGGGTTGCAAATCAAAAGTCTGATGGGGGGGGTGCAAATCAAAAGCTTGTCCCCGGGTAAAAATTGGACCCCCCCTTGAGGCGATCCTGACTACGCCACTGTATCTGTTGGAGGGGGGGGGGGGTGAATACTAAAAGTCATAAATCAAACAGACATCAAACAGACAGGCGTGTGGTGCCATTACCTGCGGAATGCCAGGAGAATCGTTGACAAGATGACCACACACGCCAGAGCTGCTAGGACGGTCACGACGCTAGTTTGCTTGGCGACTGGGATAAAAGAAAATGTTTTTTTTTTTTTAAATATGATAAGTAGGTTTTATGTTGTTGGGTTGTTGTGGTGTGTGGTTTGTGAAATTGTCACTATAGCTGCTTCATCAGATGTTCGTAACATTCAACTAAGTGTGGCCGCGTTGTAATTTTTGTGGTTATCTTTATAGCTAATTGGTCAGTTGTTGGTAAGGTTTAGACAGTGTCGCCACCAACTTAAGTGGGGTTTATCGTCACAAGTATTCACAAAAAGCAAGATTCTCCGTTTTTGTAAAACGCAACAAACACTTAATCTTTGCTACGTCTTAGCGCTTATCCCAATCCCACAAGTAACACATCTTCCCTTAATTTGTGAATCTCCAACCCAGTCATCCTATATATGAGGTGTCATTTAAAGAAACAACCTCTGACATAATTTAAATATTTTAAAAACAACCACACCAGCAATCATTTCAACACTGACTGACGCCCCACCCCTCCCCAACACTTCCCCTCCCCAACACTTCCCCCCCCCCCAACACTCCCCCGCCCCAACAGTCCCCCTTTCCAACCCCCCTTCCCAAACCTCCCCAACACTTCCCCTCCCCAACAGTCCCCTTTCCAAACCCCCCTCCCCCCTCAACACTTCCCCTCCCCAACAGTCCCCCTTTCCAAACCCCCCTCCCCCCTCAACACTTCCCCTCCCCAACAGACCCCCTTTCAAGCCCCCCCCCCCCCCCCCGTCCCTCCCCATCAGATCTAACCAAGCGACCCTCACAAGCGTCGACGTGAAAGCAGGAGGACACGGTCTTCAGCCCCACGGCGTCCTTGTACGCCCCCTCGGGACATTTCTTGCACTTGACCTGATTGTTCCGGTCCTGGTAGTAGCCGGCTGGACACTTCTGGCACTCGATCACTGACCCGTCAAAGAAATAACCTTTTGAGCACCCGCCTGCTCGCTCAAGAAAAAAAAAAAGAAAACGTAACATAAAACTCTGAAAACCCCCGGGTTCTAAAAAAACACTGCCAATCTTAAACAATGCGAAGTTTTAAACTGTGAATACGATTGGCTGAGGTATAATGGATGTTACCATGTTTAAAATGTTAAACGTATCCTTATTGATCTGTTGTTTTTCCTTTGTCTAGTGGTCAGTGATAATAATAAAACAATAATAAATGATATTTAAAAACTTCCACATGCCAATGATTATTTGTATGTGTTGTTTAACAGTAGTACTTTTAATGTAATGTATAAGGCTCGGAAATAAACATAACGTATGGCTTAGCTTACGCAAATCATATTGATTCTTAGTTTACCAAATCGCATCTAGGTTTAGCTAATCACATCAGGCTTAGTTAAGCATAGAACATGTAGGCTTAGCTAGGCTCATCACATCTAGGTTTAGCTAAGCACATCTCAATAAGGTTTAGCTAGTCATATCACATCTAGGCAAGCCAAGCGTACACGCTGTTTATAAAGACGACCTAGACGACATCTCTTTGTGTCGATCCGACACATAGTGATACATAAATAGTAAATTAGAAAATTTATAAAATTTTCATATAAATAAATTGCACCGATATAGTTGGTTATACAGTGTTTTACTCCACGACAGGGGCGACAACTTACGACAAGTTCGATCCATCTGGAGTACAGTCCCTCTAGGACAATCAATGTACGTGTTGTTGTAGTTGAACATAGTTGGTGTTGTCTGTCCTGTTGTCGCTAGCTTGAGATCCTTGCGAATATTTCTGGGGAATAAATTTTCCAAATTGCCAATTGTAACGACGGCGGGGTCTAGCGGTAGAGAGCTGGACTGCTAACCCGAAAGTCTCGAGTTCGAATCCGGGTTCAAGAGCAGAATGTCCCTAAGTCCACATTGAGCTGGTGGGTACCTAACTCACGTTAGAAATAGATGGCGGCTGGGCATAGTGTTGACCACATTGTCCCGAGTTCAATGAATTCTACTTCATCTGCCCCATGTGTCTTAGGCACGAAAAGATTATATTCGATGTGATGAATTATTGGCCATTGTGTTTATTTCATTCAATCAACAAAATAATAATTTTAAATACCTAGGTATATTGCCTAAACTAGGTAACTAGTGACAACCACAAACAACCACAAACAACCAATGTTACTCACAGACATCCATAGACAAACACAGACAACAGTTGTTAACTGCACAACAACCATGACAACCACATCAACCATCACCAACCACACATCAACCATCACCAACCACAGTCAGCAACTTACTCCTCTAATGCCTCTTTGAATGGGTCCAAGAATTTGTCGATTTTCTCCAGCGAATATAGAATGGTAAAGAGAAGTTCTGTCTGAAATACGTAGTAAAAAGTAGTTAAGTCTAACATATATAGTAAACAGTAGCTAGGTTTAAAATATATAGTAAACAGTACCTATGTATAAACTAAGTAGTAAACAGCAGATAGGTCTTAAATACAAAAGTAAACAGTACTTAGTATAAAATACACAGTAAACAGTGTATGAGGCTAATATGGATGCAGGTACCCATAATTTTAGATACTTCTGTATATATACTGGTGTGCTGCTATTCATTGTTTTCCTATTCTCGTACAAAACACAAATTGTAAATCATCCACCTGTTGTGAATGGACTTAAGTGTATGGAGTGAGTTTGAGAGTATGTGTGTTAATAAAGTTGTCGATGGTTTGAGAGTTTGTGTAGTTGAATGGAGTTAGTAAAGTTGTAGATAATTTGAGAGTATGTGTGTAGTGGTGTTAATAGAAGATTATGAATGCGTAAAAAAGGAAATAAAGTAAGAGAGAATGTTTTTGGTTGTTAGGAAGATAGTTGAGAGTTAGTCTTGGTCTTGTCGTCGTCTTGTGAGGATGTCTAGAAGTCGTCGTCCTGTCTATCGTCTATGTAGCTGTTGGTATTATATGTAATAAAAGATGGAAACATCGTAGCGTCATTCTGTGTTCTTCATTGGATCGTCGTCATCTATTGTTCGTAACGTTCAGCATCGACCCTGTACCGAAACTCACTTTACAACACCACCCTCGACGAATATCACTTACGCTTGTAACGTAGCGACATGAAAAAAGTCTTCAATCCATCATTAAATCCTTTTTCATCATTAGCTAGTTTTTCTAGTCAATCATGCATTAGTTTTCTTTATAGACGCTATTTGATATGTCATATTTTCTACTTGCCATGCATTTCTCCACCCACTACCTCCACCTCCTCCCCCTAACGAACCCTCACCATTACCTCCCACCCCCATTCAGTATCACACACACGTACATGCACGCCCCACCCATTACATCCACCTCCCCCCCCACACACACACGTACATGCACGCCCCACCCATTACATCCACACCCCCCCCCCCATCCACGAACTCTCCCCATTACCTCCCAGCTGCCATTGACACATGTCATGGAGATGTTGAGGACACACCCCGCCTCCTCACACATGTGCTGTATCGTTGTGTTGTGTAGGCTGTGTCTGATATCTGCCCTCTGCCCGGCACTGTCTGCCTGCTGTGTGCAGGGTTGGGCGGGGGTGATGGTGAGGAAGTAGATGTAGTTAAAGTCCTCGGGTTCAACGGCCTCTGGTGGGTTGATTAAAAAACATAACACGCAGCGACTTAGTTGATGATTTGATGAGTTGATAAGTTGATGAGTTGATGAGTTGATAAGTTGATGAGTTGATGAGTTGATGAGTTGATATGTTGATATGTTGATAAGTTGATGAGTTGATAAATTGATAAGTTGATGAGTTGATAAGTTGATAAGTTGACAAGTTGATGTGCTTGAGATCTGTTTAATAGTCTGTTGAAATGGCACACACGGTAAAATGTGATAGTTTTAATGTGATAGTTATAATGTGATAGTTATAATGTGGTAGTTATAATGTGATAGTTATAATGTGATAGTTATAATGTGATAGTTATAATGTGATAGTTATAATGTGATAGTTATAATGTGATAGTTATAATGTGATAGTTATAATGTGATAGTTATAATGTGATAGTTATAATGTGATAGTTATAATGTGATAGTTATAATGTGGTAGTTATAATGTGATAGTTATAATGTGATAGTTATATGACAATATATAATTATTTATTTATATTGTTTTTTTTTGTAGTAAATAAATGACGTCATAAATACATCTAAGAGAAAGGAGGGTGGAGTTGGGGGGGGGGGGGGGTCTGATGTAAAGAACGATTTATTACGTTAGCAGTGTTAGGGTCTTGGGGTGGGGAAGGGTGGAGCAGGGGGAGGTTTCTGTGACGCAACATACCATTTATTTTACTAATAATTAATTTTTACGACACAATTACTAAAAATACTGACCAACACAATGACTAAAAATACTGACCAACACAATGACTAAAAATACTGACCAACACAATTACTATAGTGTTGGCTGACAGAAATCCTGACCAACGCAATTATAGTGGTGTCGAGCGACCAAAAATACTGACCAACACAGTCGAAGAATACGGACGGCAGCCAAACAAAACCACCGGGCTCCTCCGTACAGTTGTAGATGCCTCGGTCCTTCAGACGCATCCGTTTCTGGAAGTCAGAGAATTAAATGGGTACAACAGGCATCACAATTTTTACGTGGGCTTACAACACACAACCCAGGGGGAGCCAGTCAAAAAAAATAATTAAATATATATATATATATATATATATGTAAATATATATATATATATGTAAATATATATATATATATATATATGTAAATATATATATATATATATGTAAATATATATATATATATATGTAAATATATATATATATATATATATATATATATATATATATATATATATATATATATATATATATATATATATATATATATATATATATATATATATATATATATATATATTGTAAAATAGAGGATTTATAATATTCTTTATTTTGATACTGAATACTAATATGAGACACATTTTATAACGAAAGAGCCAAAGAATATGGTTTAAGCACTCCCCCCCCCCCCTATTCCACAACAATACCCACATTGTTAAATCGGTCGGTAGATAAACTGTTGTTTTTTTAAATGGTTGGTTCCGTTTTCGTTCAAGCATATTAAATTATACTCGGTATTCTATAGACAACACTCCTTAGCCTAGTGAGCTACTTAATTACGTTATCTGCAGTCCTCTGCGTGATTGGTATGACGTAACCATGGTGACACTCCATGACGCACGTCTGACTTTTCTCCATCGCGTTACACTTGTACGTGCCGTGTTCAAGCGGATGCAGGGGATCGCACTCGTGCCCTGACAATAATCAAACAAAATTTCATGAATTATTTCCCTTTGTCCAGGAATGAATTTCTACTGTAAAATATTTGTTTTTAACTTAGGGAAAGAGACTGCTAAATTTTACTTTTGTAAAAATCCTCGTCTGTATATAACAGTGAATGGCTGTCACCAACAGACTTATTCGAAAACCTAAAACCTTTTGTTCGAATCTACATTTACATGAAATAGACAATAGGTCCATGGGAAAATTACTTTCAAATCATATATACTGTACGGCGTGGTCGAGTGGTAGTGTCCACGTCTGCTATCCGAAAGTCTCGAGTTCAGATCCGGGTTCGAGTCTGTATGACGTCTATGAATCCACCCAGGTCTGATGAGCACCTGACTCACATTAGGGTAAGTAAGAACAGGCGTACATAGTCATGGCCACAATATCCCCTTACATTCTCGTGTCACAAAAACAACAATTGAGCTCTTCAGAAGGGTAAGTTAGTTATGTAGAATCTTTACATAAAATAGATCATAGTGAAAGAGACTGGAATTACTAAAGGACAAATGTTGTAGCAATGTATATCTTACCTCCCATTGCACCAAGCATCTGGCCTGATCTCACTGAAAACAAATTGTTTAAATATTAGTTAAAGATTAAACGTGGACAGGTTAGTGATTTAATTTATCAAGTTATGTATGATTTTATAGGTTGTAGTTCTTAGTATTTAGCCCTTATTAGTCGCCTACAGTATTGAATTAAAAACATAACATGCGAAGTATGATCTAAAATACAACTGATTCTATATCGATGTGTATATAGGGTCTAGGATATTATCCCCCCCCCACCCTGTCAATACCCCACGGACATTCCCCTTTATTACCCCCCCCCCCCCCACTTATCCTGGAGAACCCTGGCCGTAACCCATAACACAAAACTTTAGCTGTCCCAAACCCTAATCCTGGCCGTAGCTTTAACACTAGCCCTAACCTAACCCTATCACTAAGTGGGCAAGCGGAGGTGGGGGGGGAGGGGTAATGCCCTGCTCCAGTCTATATAAGAGTGTGTGTAGATACGTATATAGATATTCGTGTATATATATATATATATATATATATATATATATATATATATATATATATATATATATATATATATATATATATATATATATATATATATATTTATATATATATATATATATATATATATATATATATATATATATATATATATATATATATATATATATATATATTAAAAGAGTAGCTGAGTAACGTGAGTGTGGATGTTTGAAGAATGTACTCACACTGAGTCCCACTGACCAAGTCTAACGAATAAAAAAACAACAACAGAGTTATCGGCCATCTCCACAAATTCCGCTCACAGTTCAGCCCCATGGTCTGGTGAAGCTACAGGTAAAATAATAATCATTAAAAAAGTTTTAAAAAACCCACGTTTTCTGATTGAACTAAAAAGTAGAAAATAAATGCTATAGGCCCTACATCACAATAATGCAAGCGATCACTCTACTATAAGCGAGCAAAAACGTGGGGCGCCGAAGTAAAAGTTATGTTACTATTGATTAGATAATACTATTGACTTTTATTAGGGAGCTTGTAGAGAGTCAACAGTATTAGAAACTGTAAGAAAATCACGGCGCCCCACGTTTTTGCTCGCTTATAGTAGAGTGATCGCTTGCATTATTGTGATGTAGGGCCTATAGCATTTATTTTCTACTTTTTAGTTCAATCAGAAAACGTGGGTTTTTTAAAACTTTTTTAATGATTATTATTTTCTACTTTTTAGTCTTTGTCTGTTTGTTTGCATTAAAATCTTGCTATCGATTTTATCTTTTCACTTTTTTTGGGTAAACGAAGACAACTCGTAAAAAGACAACTCGTAAAAAGACAACTCGTAAAAAGACAACTCGTAAAAAACACGTTGTTTGAATACGTTACTGACTAGAACACATAGATTTGAACCCGTGTCGAGTGGGATAGCAATCGTGTGCCCAACCACTCGACCATATCGTCTCCCCCAAACTGGCCTACCTCCTGTAAGTTTAAACTCGGTTCAAGCTAAATTCTCTGCCCCTAAGCCTGTGGCGACATGTGATCGTTCGCTTCACTGCGCGCGAGGTACGCGTCGCTGGTTTTTTTTCTAACGCTAGCAGAGGAGAATTATATATATAGATTATATAGCGGTCTAAAATGCTCAATAAAATGTTTCCATTGATCAATTTAGTAATAATAACAATTGAATATTCAATGGTCATCCAAAAGAAAGCTTCCCTGAAAATTTCAGCGCGCTAGCTAACTGGGAAGTGCCAGAAATTTCGATCGCAAGATTTGATTGGAAAGACAAACAAACAGAGAAAGCAAGTTAAAGAAAACGTGGGAATAACACACCTGGGATATCGTGAAGTAGTGGGATGTCAACAGTTCACACAATCATCTGGTCCTGCATCCTATGATATAGGATATTTAGTGATATCAAGGGTCAACTTGAGCTTATTTTAAGGTAAATGTAAGGACGATTTATGAACATTGTTTATTTTGATATGGTTACCTTGACCCTAACCTTAACCTTGGCCTTAACATTGAAGCTGAAAATCTAAATTTTAGATATTTAAAAGTTTGAAGGTAGGTCCCAACAATACTTTTATCAAATCATGATTATAGGTGATAGAGTGGTCGAATGGTAGAGCGTTTGAATGCTAGCCCTAAGATCTCGAGTTCGGATCTGAATTCGGACTTGTGACTGCTAGACATACCTGAGTCCACCCAGCTTTGATGGGTACCTGACTCAAGTTAGGGAAACAAAGGCGGCTGGGTGTAGTGATGGCTACACTATCCCTTCATATGTTTATGTCATTGAAACAGCTGAACTCCACTTATTTGCTCTAGAACAAATGTTGTCAAATAAAAAAAAAACCCTCACATTTTCATGTCGAAGCTCTCAATAGTATCCGTCAGTGTTTCATATCCACAATGACAAACCTCTCTCTCAACTCTAACTGTCAGTGTCAGCACTGCTCACCCCACAAACTGTCTACCGCAAGTCTTGACATCTTTAAATAACTGATCTAGTAGTAGATCTAGACTCTATGTCGTAACAAACTAAAGTTGAAATCACGTCAAATTTACATTTAAAAAAACTACGTAGACCTAGATTTAGATCAAGATTTAGATCAAGATCTAGATCTAGATCTAGATCTAGATCTAGAATAGATTCTATCTAGATCTAGTTATAAGTTTAGATTCACTGATACTTGATATAATTTTCTATAGCTTCTATTAGTAAAAGCTAAAAGTTAAGAAATAAATCTTTACTACTGTATCACATGGAAAACTCGGTTGTAAAATGTTTCTTCTTGTCGAATATTTAATAGCTTAGAAATATTTTACCATACCACAGCAAAAAATATATAACTTCGTCTTAGATTAGCCAATCCCAGCTTTGTTATTGTGATAAGTGTGTCTTTAGTGGTAGAGAACGGTGCATGGCAAAAATCGTTCATGTTGTGTTGTGTGCAACTTTGGTGCGCAGACAAGCCGTTGTGCTGTTGTTTTGGGTGTACACATTTTCTTGACGGCAGATTCTTCACGAATAGGCTAATCAGCTAATCAATGTTTTCATTTAATTTTTACTTAAGGCTCCCAAATTCTCGATCTCTAATTAAACATCAAAGGTGGCATTTAAAAAGAAACGATTTGTTTCGTTGTGCGTTATTTTGTTTCTTTTCTCCGTTCTGCGTTTTTGAATGATTCGTTAGGGATCATGTTGTCAATGGCCATTTGATTCGTCATGTGTGTGTGTGTGGGGGGGGGGGGTATTTTTTAATTTTTTTTTTACAACTCCAGATATTTTTCTCGTAATTTTATTTTAGTTTTGAACTAGACATGTTAAATAGAATTCGTGCAATCGTGGTTTTTCGTCATGATGATAGGGAAACCAAGATTTTAGACTTGAAAGCTGAACTAGATTTTGGAGTCTTAAAATCGTCAACAGGAGCGGTTACCTACGTTTTGGCGCCACAAAGGGACTGTCGACATAAGGGAATGACAACCAAAGGGACACACTACCAAATGGACTGCATAAAAGGGACTGTCAACCTAAGGGACTGCCAATCAAAAGGACTGACAACCAACCATAGGGACTGTCGACCTAAGGGACTGACAACCAAAAGAACTGATAAATATCAAGTGATATTTTAAGGAAGCAACAATTGGCTACAATGACATTTTAATGTTTTGTTTAGCTCATTAATCTACATACCATGATTTACAAAACCAGACATACATTTCTATAAGTCCTCCACATAAATAAATAGTGCACATTATCAAATATAATTAATGGAATTGATTAATTAAAACATTCACATTTTAAACAAATGCATATAGAACAATTAGCTTACATATATATATATATATATATATATATATATATATATATATATATGTATATATATATATATGTATATATATATATATATATATGTATATGTATATATATATATATATATATATATATATATATATATATATATATATATATGTATATATATATATATATATATATATGTATATATATATATATATATATATATGTATATATATATATATATATATATATATATATATATATATATATATATATATATATATATATATATATATATATATATCAATATTAACTATTTATTTTATGTCATATATAAGTCTGTTTATATGTGTTTTTAACATATATATGCATATTTTAACACACATATCTGAGAAAATTCTCAGACTGATTGCGAAAATTGTACAGTAACAAGTCAAGCGATAGGTTTTAAATTACAGGAAAGTACATAAACATAATGTCTTGTGGTTTTTGCATGCACTATACATGCGCTAACTGCCCTTTGCGTAAATCTTTTTCAATAGAGATTGTCAACTGATGTGTGTTTTGTGGCCAGATTTTGTCAGCGCTGTCAGCTAGAAATGCAACAGTTTTACATGCCGTTTTGGCCGTTTTGTGAACTCCGTTAGTAAGTGAATCGGTTGTAGGATTTCCTTGCTCTTTCACTGAATCTGAGCCACCATCTTCTACTTGACGTAAGATTGTGTTATTGGGTTCAGTTTTAGAACTGGAATGTTCATGGATTGAAATGCTGGATTCTGTAGGGGAAGTTCTCTTGCTGGTAGATCTACTTTCGGTTTCGCTTTTCCGGTCAGCCTCAGCACCAGAAGACGAGGCGTCCGACTGCGAGGATTCAGTCAGCAGGTCACCGACGCAGGTCTTGTCAACGGTTGGCGCCGATGGAACACAGGATGATTGTCTTTGGCGTTTGGGAGTCTTGGAAAGGTTGGATTCGACATTTGGAAGACAAGAACAGGAAGCTATGGAATGCTGGTGGTCGGGTGATAGCTCAGTGACGGAAGACGGTGAAGAACTTGCAGTGTGGCCGTTCTGATAAGGCACAATGTCTGTCGGCGATTTTTTGGGGAAAAGGGGAAATCGAATCGGCTGCTGGGAATTTGGTGACGATTTTTCCAGTTGGTTTTTGCATTTCGATTTCGATTTCCCGCCCTTTTTTCTGCGTTTGGCTTTGATTTCTTCATCGTCGTCGTCTGTGTCTGAAGGCCAAACTTCGTGCAGACGGTAATGTTCGTATTCCGGGGTCAGCGGATTTCTGTAGCGTTGAATCGCGTCACAGCTATCGCCTTCAAGACCAGGCGGGGTTTCCGGGGGGACGAAAGAGAGATTGAATGCACTGCTCTCTAGGTCTAAATTCAGGTTCCTTAACTCTATACCCTCGGCGCCACCGGAAGTCTCGTCTAGGGAGCTGTAAGCAGGCGGGGGTTCGGATCTCCGGGCGGGGAGCATGACGTCATCGTAGGACGGTGGCGCGCAGAGTGAAGATTCTGATTGGCTGGTTCTTATTTTGACACGCCCACCATTTACCTGGATAAACTGGACAGCTGGTGCTTCCGGCTTTAAGATTCTGAAAATAAAAATAAAATAATTTATATCTATTTAAACTTTTTTAAACATTTCATTTTAATATTTTATTTTTTGTTTGACAATAATAATGTCAGCTAGATCTGTTAATGCTATTTTAAAAAATATGAGTTTTACGTAAGTCAAAATGGCCAAAACGGAAGATCTAGTGGAGCGTATCACAACTGTTGGTATAAAACACAATGGAAGTATCCCGGTCTATGCTCAGATGCCCGTCGGGTTTGAATGACACTCCCCTCCTCACGGGAAACGCTATTAATGTGCCCTTTTTAATATTTTAAATATCGTGTGGCTTTATGTATTAAAATGCGTTTGTTAAAACTTAAAAAGTAAAGTTTCCCTTCCAAACCTGTCGGTTTATGGGGCAAGTGAAGTAGAGTTCACCTGTTTCTGTGACCTCGGCATATGAAGGTATATTGTGGCTAGCTCTTAGCTCAGCCGCCTTTACTTTCCCTAACAGGAGTTAGGTACCCATCAGAGCTGAGTGGACTCGGCGAAGGTCTACTGACTTGAACCCGGATTCGACCTCGAGACTTACGGGTTAGCAGTCCAGCTTGTTAATACTTAATTGTTTTGTTTTATAGGATTTTCTAAAGATTTGATGTAGCCTATTTGGTGCTTTTAGTAATATTATCAAAATTTAAAAAAAAAAAAAAAAAAAAAAAAAAAAAAAAAAAAAACCAAAAGCATTGTTTTAAATTTTCACATATATAATAAACATGGCATAATTAGGGGTGAGATTTTTTATTATAATCTTCATATAACGAGTTACGATCCTTATCAATTAGGATATAATCCTTATCAAATATGATATAATTCTCATCAAATTGGTTATTGTCATCATCAAATTGGATATAGTCTTTATCAAATTGGTTATAATCTTCATCAAATGGGATACAATCCATTTCAAATCAAATGTAATCAGATGGGATATTTTCCTCATCAAATGGGATATAATCCTCGACTTGGATATATTTCCCATCAACATTTATCATGCCGTCCCCACCATACATATCTCTATACACATCTCCATGACAAATGTATGCACACGTCATCACACGACAGGGGGGACAATCCGTCTTACTTTTTCTTTATGTAGCGCCAGGCGAACAGGAAGATTCCAGCGGTGATAGCCCCGAACACCAGCAGGGGGAGACAAATGACCACGATTATGTCCCATGTTAATGAATCTGTGGAAAAATTTTTGGAGAAGTTTGCGTGACGCTGTCTGAATATTACATTATCTGTGAATTGGCTTTAGCAATCAAAGGGAGGTTATTTTGTAGGATTTATTTGTTACTATTTATGTGGAGAGAGTTATGAATGAAATGGGATGGATAATTATCTATTAATAGTATGTGTAATTATCCAATTTCTGAACTTCTTTGACAAAATATTTCAATGAAATTTAACCACGTTTAAAAAAGAGTATCGTAATTTTTTAAAATTTTCAAATTAAGGTTTGAATTTAGTTGATTTAATTACATAATTTCACTAAAAAATTGATCCAAATTGATGTTAATTTTAAATTTTAATTCAGTTGGGGTCAGGCAGATAGTGACTTATTTTTTTTAATTTTCTTGTTTAATTTTACTTTATTTTTCTCTAGCTTACAATTAGCTAACATATTTGTGACGAAACTACAACTGAACAACAATTTGTGACAAAACTTCAACTGAACAACAATTAGTGACAAAACTTCAACTGAACAACAATTTGTGACAAAACTACAACTGAACAACAATTTGTGACAAAACTACAACTGACCAACAATTTGTGTCAAAACTACAACTGACCAACATATTTGTGACATAACTACAACTGACCAACAAATATGTGGCAATTACACTTACAACTGACCAACACATTTGTGGCAATTACACTTACAACTGACCAACACAATTGTCGCAATTACACTTACATCTGGCCAACAAATTTGTGACAATTACACGTACAACTGGCAAACAAAACTATGACAATTGAGCTTTACAGCTGGCCAACAAATTTGTGACAATTCCACTTACAATTGACCAACACATTTGTTACAAACACTTACAACTGACCAACACGTTTGTGACAAACACTTACAACTGGAAAAAAAATTGTGTGACAAACACTTACAACTGGCCAACAAATTTGTGACAATTACACTTACAACTGGCCAACAAATTTGTGACAGTGTCGTTTCTGTCACAGCCCTCGTCCCCTCTGTCGTCCTTCCCACAGTTCAAGTGACCGTCACACACCACGCCCTTGGGGATGCAAATGAGCGCGTACGGACAGGAGAACATGCCGTCAGGACAGCCTCGGCTGGCACTCGACTCTGTCAGGCAATGGATGGACATTCATTAATTACATCAAGTCATTAGGATTGAAATCTAACGCTTGCAATGCTTAAACTAAAAAATTGCTAAAGCTAATAATAATTATTTGAGCCGTCTAACTGACCAGTGGAACTGACCAGTGGAACTGACCAGTGGAACTGACCACTGGAACTGACCAGTGGAACTGACCACTGGAACTGACCAGACTAAATTGACCCGACTAAACTGACCCCTGTAACTGACACCAGCTGACCAGATTGACCATTAAACTGACCCATCTAACTGACCCGCCCAACTGACCCGACAAACTGACCCGTGTAACTGACCCTTCTGACCAGACTGACCACTAACCTGACCCCGCTAACTGACCCATCTGACAGGACTTACCATTAACCTGACCCATCTAACTGACCCATCTAACTGACCCATCTAACTGACCCCTCTAACTGACCCATCTAACTGACCCATCTAACTGACCCATCTAACTGACCCATCTAACTGACCCCTCTAACTGACCCATCTAACTGACCCCTCTAACTGACCCCTCTAACTGACCCATCTAACTGACCCCTCTAACTGACCCATCTAACTGACCCATCCAACTGACCCATCTAACTGACCCATCTAACTGACCCATCTAACTGACCCATTTAACTAACCCATCTAACTGACCCAATTTAACTGACCGATCTAACTGACCCCTCTAACTGACCCATCCAACTGACCCATCTAACTGACACGTCTAACTGACCCATCTAACTGACCCATCTAACTAACCCATCCAACTGACCCATCTAACTGACCCCTCTAACAGACCCCTCTAACTGACCCATCTAACTGACCCATCTAACAGACCCATCCAACTGACCCATCTAACTGACCCCTCTAACAGACCCCTCTAACTGACCCATCTAACTGACCCATCTAACAGACCCATCCAACTGACCCATCTAACTGACCCATCTAACTGACCCATCTAACTGACCGATCTAACCGACCCATCTAACCGACCCATCTAACTGACCCATCTAACTGACCCATCTAACTGACCCATCTAACTGACCCATCTAACTGACCCATCTAACTGACCCATCTAACTGACCCATCTAACTGACCCATCTAACTGACCCATCTAACTGACCCATCTAACTGACCCATCTAACTGACCCATCTAACTGACCCATCTAACTGACCCATCTAACTGACCCATCTAACTGACCCATCTAACTGACCCATCTAACTGACCCATCTAACTGACCCATCTAACTGACCCATCTAACTGACCCATCTAACTGACCCGTATAAACTAACCCAACTGACCACTGAACTGACCAGCAGTACTCACCTGTGTAGACAGTGACCAGCACACGGAACCCTGGGTCAGTGACCGTTGGTATCCCCAGATATTCTATCTGCAGATTGCCCTTAGAGATTTTGTAATCTTCGATTTTAGCACCTGGAAATAAAATCAGTACACTTTGTTTCTACTGCATATTTTGGCTATTACTGTAGGTCTACAAGCAAAAATCTTTGTTGGAAAATCTTTATAGGAATAAACATGTATAAAAGCCTTTCGTAATATCATGCTTTGAAATGCACTTAAGTACATAAAACAAAATTATTTCGTTAAAGATATAGTTCTAGTTGTAAAGTATTAGCCACCAAATTGTATTGAAGAGATTTCAACTATTGTTTTTACTATAATATAAAAAGAAAACTGTTTTTTTTTTAAAGAAACTTAAAGTGTTTAAAACTGAATGCTAGTTTATTTGACTTGATGGTGAATGCTAGAAATTTGAGTAAAGTGTTGGTCAATGGTTGATCGTTGATCGTTGTTCTATTGCCAGGATATCAAGGAGTGTGTAATATTCATATAGTGACGTCACTGAAAGATTGAAACACTTTAAGAAGATGGCCACTTGTAGACTAATTTATCCAAACTATATCTTGGCCAAAGAAGAACTGTGTGGTTTCTGTATTAACTAACTAAACATGTTTAGGTCTTGGTCGTTACGACCTACATGATTTAATAAAAACTGACCGATGATTTACCAGATTCAATTAGTATGAAGAGTGACCTATGACCTACCTGATTCATCAAAAACGTAAAAGTGACCTGTGACCTACCTGAATCATCAAACATAATAACTGACCTATGACCTACCTGATTCATCAAACATGAAGAGTGACCTATGACCTACCTGATTCATCAAACATGTAAAATGACCTATGACCTACCTGATTCATCAAACATGAAGAGTGACCTATCCAGATGACCGTACAGTCCACCATCCGGTGTCATTTTACGTTTCCTAGGCAACAGTGAGTACAAATGGACGCTGAGGAACAGACACACATATTAGATCATTATATTAGACCATTGTTTACTTTATCAATACCAGGTTAGAATGTTGTTTTTATTTAGGATGTGACTTTGGTTTTTGTATATATATATATATATATATATATATATATATATATATATATATATATATATATATATATATATATATATATATATATGATAGATCAACGTACATAAAATAAGCAAGTTAATATAGATTGTGTATAGAAATTTACAATTGAACACGACAATACGAACTCTCTACTCACTAGTCGCTGTGACTCTGTGACGCGGAAATGCCCATCTGCAGAAAGTGCACGTACAGGCCCATGCCCCGGCTGGCATTGACTGACATGGAGCAGTGGACAAAGTCCTTGTTCCGGTCTCTGGCCAGCTGCTCCTTGGGTGTGAGGGAGATGAGCAGGCTCTGGTTGACGTGGAGGGTCTTGGAGCAGTGGTTGGTCATGTACATGAAGTGGGTCTTGGCGCTCACTGGGGAGCAGAGGTGGACATGGGTATATAAATAAATAAATATATAAATATATAAATAAATATATACATATGTGTGTGTGTGTTTGTGTGTGTGTGTGCGTGTGTGTGTGATTATGCATGTATGTATCTACCTATCTATATAGAGTGAGTTACTTTTACGTTTTAATTTGTATAAAACATGAATACAAAGCTTGCAGTGTACTCAGTTTAAACTAAAGTTATGCGAAGGTAGTGTTGAAAAGCTGGAAAAGCTAATGACGATTCGATTTAAATTTAATAGGTGTTTCTTCGTTTCAAAGCTTGTTCAAATCATCATTGGTGTAGGGTTTTGGACTCGAACCTACGTCTACACACTATTTGAACCCATCCGTGGATGATTCTTTACATGAGCTATCGATGTAGCCACCACGACTATATTTCTCTATGTGCTTTGTTTTTTTTTTAATGGTGAATTCACAGGTAAATGTGTGTGTTTGTCTGTGCTAAACTGAAATGGTACACGTTCAAATCAACGCATCACACTCTGTGTCGAGCTAAATGATAAACGATTACTGGACGCTCAGTGACATATGATTCGAAAACAATCAGCCTAAAAGTGTTGGTTGTTTTACCCAGTCTTTCCCTCACCCTAACAATACTCTATTAATAGTTTGATCCTTACCGCATTATTCCACAGTAAAGCACCTAGATATAAAAATTTTAAAAATATATTGTTTTTTCCGGATGTCGTTTTGTCCTGCGCGTGAACGCATCAGTGCGTATCGACCCGGTAAACTTTGAGATTATGACAGGATTTAAGATTTATTGATGACTGGCTATTGATTGTTCTCAAGCGGCTCAAAGGGTTTCCATCGAGCTCGTGTTTGGAGTGAAATGCCTAAAACCATTGTGTCGGTAAGGACCTAAAACCATTGTGTCGGTAAGGACCTAAAACCATTGTGTCGGTAAGGACCTAAAACCATTGTGTCGGTAAGGACCTAAAACCATTGTGTCGGTAAGGACCTAAAACCATTGTGTCGGTAAGGACCTAAAACCATTGTGTCGGTAAGGACCTAAAAAGTGTGTGTCGGTAAGGACCTAAAACCATTGTGTCGTTAAGGACCTAAAACCATTGTGTCGGTAAGGACCTAAAAAGTGTGTGTCGTTAAGGACCTAAAACCATTGTGACGGTAAGGACCTAAAACCACTGTGTCGTTAAGGATCTAAAACCAGTGTTTTAAGTGTTTTTCAGCGAAAACGCCCCTCTCTGAATCAATCCTTTATCATGAGAATAAAGCTGTGAGAGATTTAGTAGTGGATATAAAATTAATCATATCTTGGAACAAAATATCGTGGGACGATATGGAGGGGAGGGGGGAAGGAAAAAAATTTCCGAAAAAAGCGTGTCATCATTTATGGATGTCCCCTTGTACCAGAGTTTCTTCCAGGTGAAGCCCCCCCCCCCCCCCCCTCCCCCCCGAAAAAAAAAGTCCGCCCCCCCCCCCCCCCCGAACGAAATGAAATTTATATAATTTATATAGAAAATATATACTTTTAACAGTGTCCGCCCCCCAGAAGAAAGTCTACCACCCCCCCGAAAATTTCAAGTGCCCCCCCCCCCCCCTCCAGGAGAAAAAAGTCTGGAAGAAACACTGCCTTGTACGAATTTTATTGTTTAAAAGATAACTATTTGGACTTATTTTATTGCTGAAAATGCGAAGTATAAGCCTTTATTATTATTGTAAATAATCGATACATTTTTAAACTAACACAAAAACGGGTTTATTTAAAAACAAGATTCCTTTTAATCTCTCCCGCGGGTTCTAGACCTAGTCGGTCGCAGGATGAAAATACAAAACGGATGCGCACAATTTGGAACCCATTTCTTCCGAGCGGGTGAAATGTTTCGCTAGCAGACGATTAATCATTCTATAAGAGCCGGAAACGGCCGGTGTAATATTGATGTAAGCTGGACCTGGTTAATACCCGTTACATCATTACACCTGATCCATTACCGCGTAGGTTCAAACAGGTAGTTCGTGTGTTAACCCTTCCGCTAGGTTTGTTAGCACGGAGTGGGTTATGTCGACATTATCCTGCTTTTAGAGTAGCTTCCCCTTATCTGTTTCGATGCAGTGGATGTATAGATCACGATCCGGTGTTGTGATGTGACATTGTTAGAGGAAATTAAAAGTTCTTTTGTTTCGTGTGGTCGAGTTAATTGTAACAGTAAACGTTGTATGTATTTTTTACATTACCAGCACACACAAAGCTAGTCTAGTCTATAGAGATTACAGATGTGTAAGTAGCACTAGTCTAAAGCCAATGTCTAACCGTATCATCACATTCTACTGCTTGCACTATAATCCCTACGTGTCCTATAATACATTTTTCAAAGACAAAGATAAGTTGTTGACTGGTAGGTGAGATGAGAGAGATACAAGCAGTGTTTCTTTCAGACTTTTTTCTCCTAAAAGGGGGAAAGGGAGGACTAAATATTCCGCGGAGGGGGGGGGGGGGAGACGCACACTGGTAAAAGTATATATTTTCTAAACAAATTATTATCCGTTCGGAACGTGAGTGGTAGACGTTCTTCCCAAAGATGAAAGTAAGTCCCAAAAATAAAAGGCCCAAAGAAACAAGTCACAAAGATACATGTCACAAAGATACAAGTCACAAAGATATAATTCCCAAAGATATAAGTCCCAGATATACAAGTCACAGATATACAAGTCTCAGAGATACAAGTACATAGGAAACAAGTCCCAGAGATACAAATTCCAAAGGTGATTGTTTCTTAATTAAAGGTCTGTTAATTATTGTTTGGTGAATTATTTCTTACTTAAAGTAAACAGAAGGTAATTACGTGAATACATTTTTCTTTCATGTAGGTATATTGAAATACCAACATACGTCCGTGTTAAAATTGTGTTACACCCCCCCCCCTACCCCCACACTGCCCCCACCCACCCCTAACCCAACCCCTCGTCTTGACCCAAAAGTTCACCACCGTCAACCCGTCCTTGGCGTCACGTGACACCCTCATCCCCCAAACCCAACCCTCAACCAACGCCGAGGGTTTCGAGGGCGGATGTGACGTCATTTTAATATGGCGGCGACACGGTGCGCCCATTTCCTGGTCTCAAAGCACCGCGTGGAGCTCGTGTCATGGATTTCAATCGCGTTGTATTTGTTGCAGAACTCAACGAGAATCTCGGATTCCAATCACGTGATCTACTAGGGATTACGAGTTGTTGTGTTTTTTTTACCGATAAGCGAACACAAAAATTATGTTAACAGTCAATGATTTATTGATCAGGAAATATTTTGAATGTTTGAGGGGGAGGGGTGGGGAAGAGGCCGTTGAAACTGATCCTGTTGTGTATTGTTTATGATCATGTTTGAGTTTGTTGATCGCGGGATATGCTTGACAAAAATGCGACGAAATATTATAGGGTTTATCTGTCTGAAGCTGAAGTAGGACTAAGCGCAATGGACGCAGGTTCCAAACCCGCCCAATCCAGTGGAATTTTATGTTATTGTTTTGATATCGTTACCTTTTTCTTATAGTTAATTTCAGACCAAGACAAGCTTTACAACAAGTAAAAAGATGGGAGGAATCATTTAGATTTACAATTTTTTACGACCGTTATCCTTTATAACAATTTTTTTATTCTGTAAAAATATTCCTCTACTATAACAACCATCCTCTTTTATCAACATTTTTCAATTCCCACCCCCCCCCCCCCCCCCACCATTTACAATTTAAAACACACAACAGCAATTCTAAGCTATCACAATCTTTGTTGACTGATAACATTGTTACCTAACATCATAAACATAAATAACAATAGGCTCAGATAACCATCACTATTATCAATCACATCCTCCAAAAAAAAGTGTTTTCACCGCCACAACAGCAACTTACAATTATAA